CTTTACAGGAGCAGATCACCAGATCTCTCCCTTGGAGCTGCTAGTGGGTTCGAACCACTGACCTTTCAGTTAACAGCTGAGCACTTAAACATTGCACTGCCAGGGCTCCTTTAGTGGTGGGTAGAGCACCTGATTAGGGGCCAGGAGCCCTCAGTTCTGAACCCTGTTCTGTCAGTAACTCACTGTGTGGGCTCAGAGATGTCACCCCCCCAACCCCCACTCTCACCCCCAGCCCATGTCAGCTTCAGAGCTTCTCTTGGGTCCTTTATCCCAACGGATAATAATAACAACAGTTACTGAGCATGTATGGGCCAGAGTACCTGCCTATTCTTTTAATTCTTACACCCACCCTACTGGGTTGGCCCTTTGGTGAGCCTCATTTTACAAAGTAAGGATTGGAGGCTCAGAGAGGTTAAGTAAATCATCCAGAGTCACACAGCCAGAAAAAGGCAGAGTTGAGATAAATATGCTCCACGCCCTTCATAGCTGTACTTGAGCAAAGTTAGAGTGGTGATTGAGATTAGAGCCAGCCGGTCACCACTCTGTGGGATGGGAAGCAAGGACTGAGAACGGGGCCACTCCTCAGCCAATGCCCACAGAAAGAGAAAGAAGTGACCCCAGTGGAATGCCTTAATGGCCATGGAGGTCAAACTACCTTGACGAAAGACCCAGTTGTCATAAGAAAACATACAAACCTGCATCCTGGGTTTCTTCAGCATTTCCAAAGCCAGGGAATTTTGTCTAATCAGGTAACGGAATTGTTTTTAGCAGCAAGCATGAGCCCATTACGGATGCAATTCGTGCTAATAATGATAATTTGCAGTGCAGTAAAATCACCTCTCTACCGCCCCCCTGACAGATGACGCTCTAGAAATGATAGGCTAGGGAGAAACAGAAAGGATAAAGATTAAGGAAAAGACTTGGGATGCAGAACTGCTTAAACAAAAGGAGTTACAGATTTGCACATTGAACTTGGTGATCTAAATCATGAAGTTGTAGAAGAATTAGATAATATTAATTTTTTAAATTGCCTATATTCAATTTTGTTACCTCTGTCATTAGAATGTTGTTGTTATTATTTTAAAGCACAAGCCATATTTAGAAGGTGGATGCAAAATGAATGGGAGAATGACTTAAATATCGATGCACACTATATTCCCGTGGAGAAGAACAAGAGGAGACCAGTTGCAAAGAGTCAGTTCAGTCATGGCACCCCCTTAATTTCACGGGCAAAGATCTCAAGAACCTTGAGCCCAGAGAAGTCGTTTGCAAAGTCTGCAGGTTTGGGAGAAGAGACCAGGCGGATGTGCCCTTCATGTCCCTCATCTCTGATAAGCAGGTGAGGGACCTAGTTTATCTCCTGGTGTCCTTTCTGGTACTGTGAGCTCACTCTTCCAGGGCTCCAAGAAAGCCAGAAAAAAACGCAGACTCTTCACTGAGCTTTTCCCCAGTCCTTTGAAGAGAATTTCAGCTGCCTTCTACTGAGGTGTCGTTTTTTTCTTTAAAGATATATTTGCAAAAAGAGTAAAATATCTTTTAATCGATTCAAATAAAGATTTAAAAAGTAACATTTTTTTCCTGATTATGAAAGCAATACCTGTTGGTTGTGGAAAAATAGAAAAAAGCACAAATAAGTAAATCAATAAACACCCATAGCACCACCATTCACATAACCACTGTTGGCATTATGGGTAAGTCCCCTCTACCTTTTTTTTTTCTTTTTTTAACAAAAAACATATATGTGTGTGTGTGTGTGTGTATGTACATAGACTCCTAGGTGGCACAAATGGTTTGCACTCTACTACTATCTAAATGAAAAAAAACTAAAAATGAGGTATTCAACTTTGGCAGTTCAAACCCACCAGGCAGCCCCATTGAAGAAAGACCTGGTGATCTGCTTCCGTAAAAGTTTACAGCCAAGAAAACCCTACGGAGCACAGTTCTACTCTGTAATGCCGTGAGTTGGAATCGACCTAATGACAAGTTTGGTTTGGTTTTGGTGTTATGTATATGTGTATATATATACAGTATGGATTTGCTGTAATTGTACAGTTTTTGACCTGCCTTTTTCATGTACTATATCCTAAATATTTTTCCACAATAACATTCTTCTATCACACCACTTTAAATAACTGGATGTACTGTAATTATGTACTTGGATTGTCACGGATTGAATTGTGTCCCCTAAAAATATCTATTAACTTGGCTAGGTCACAATTCCCAGTATTGTATGATTATCTACCATTTTGTCATCTGATGTGATTTCCCTATGTGTTGTAAATGCTAGCACTATGTTGTAATAAGATGGATTAGCGGCAGTTATATTTATGAGATCTATGGGATTAGATAGTCTCTTAAGCCACTCTCTTTTGAGATATGTAAGAGAGAAGCAAGCAGAGAGACATGGGACCGCATACCACAAAGAAAGCAGTGCCAGGAGCAGAGCGCATCCTTTGGACCTGAGGTTCCTGTGCTAAGGTGCTCCCAGACCACGGGAAGACTGATGACGAGGACCTTCCTCCGCAGCCAACACAGAGAGAAAGCCTTCCCCTGGAGCTGGCGCCCTGAATTCGGACTTGTAGCCTACTAGACTGTGAGAGAATACATTTCTCTTTGTTAAAGCCGCCCACTTGTGGTATTTGTGTTATAGCAGCACTGGATAACTAAGACACAGATCCCTTGGGGTTTGGGCTTTTTAATTGTTTTGTGTGACAATCACCCTTTGTGCTACACCATGGTTGTCTCCTGCACAAGGGTTCTGAGCCGGGGACCACTCTGGCTGTTTGGTGAAGCCTGTGAACCTCTTCTCAGAATACAGGTAGCCCTTGACTTACGATATATTCTAGTTACAACGAACTGCACTTACAACCGTATGGGTTTTTTAATTTTATTTTAATCTTATTGTTAGTAATATGTACTACATGCAATTTTTCAGCACCTAATCTGCTGATGTTATCATACTCAGAAGTTCACTTGCAGATGTTCAGTTTAGGATTTACTATTCGAAACATGGCCTTATAGTAGGCTATGGCAGTAATAATGAAAACGAAAAAAAAAAAAATGAGGTATTCAACTTATGTCAGAACCGACTTACAACAGAGTCGTCAGAATGGAACCTGTCATAAGACGGGGACTACCTATAATGTGTTCAAATGCATAAAATAAAATACATAGGATTACAAAAGAAACCAATTAATTACATTGAAATATATTATCAAAATAGCAGAAACAAAATTGTGATGATAATTATATGTGTTCTTGATTCCTATACTAAATAACAATGTTAGAAAGTAAATACAGGAGCTTCAATAACTACTGTAATTATAAAGTAGGGATAAGCATTATCATTATTTCAAGATGTTTGCAACTAATGTCATATGACAAAAAGATCTGTGATTTTTGCTGGGATAAGGTATTACAGGTATTACTATGATTTGTTGCCTACATTCATAGTTGAGGGAAATACTAAATTTCACTTGGAGGTCAGTAAAAACAAAGATGTAACTTTTTCTCGTCAAAATTCCTAAACCTCCTGATTTCTACCCATGGAAGCTTACGGGTCCAGGGAGTCTTAGGGAAAACTAGTAGTTTTCTGCATCTTTGGGCCCTGCATGTCTTTGAGCCTTTTGACTTCTGTGGCCTCGTTGCCCAGAGGAGTTGCCTTTGATTTCTTCTGAGTGCTGGTGGCTGGGGAGTGGGATCAGAGAGAGTACCTGCCAGTAACAAGAGGAGGTTACCCGTGCTTGCTAGCTGAGGTCTCCTGGGGAGGAGATTCTGAAAAACCAGGATTGAAGGTCCGCCAAGCCAGGACCCAAGATGAACGTTGTGGATTGAATTGTGTCCCCCTAAAATATGTGTTAGAATCCTGCTCAGCTGCTAACCGAAAGGTTGGCAGTTTGAACCCCTCCAGCAGCTCTATAGGAGAAAGACCTGGTGATCTGCGTCTGCAAAGATTACAACCAAGAAAACCCTATGGGGCAGTTCTACTCTGTCACATGGGGTTGCTGTGAGTGCAAAGCAACTCGACTGCACTCAACAACAACAACAAAATACCTGTGGGTAGAAAACCAACCCCTGTTGCTGTCAGTCAATCCTGACTCAGAGCAACCCTATAGGACAGAGCAGAACTGCCCCAGAGCGTTTCCAAAAAGCACTTGGTGAATTCGAACTGCCGACCTTTTGGTTAGCAGCCGTAGCACTTAACCACTGCACCACCATGGCTCCACTTGTGGGTATAATCCCTCTGGAAATACGGTTTTCTTTGCTATACTAATGAGGGCCTATCAGTGGGGGGTGTGCCCTAAACCTAATCACTTTTGAGTTATAAGAAGCAGCATAGACAGAGGAAAGAGAGTGAGCACAAACGGGGTAGAAAGATGCCACGTGAAGATCAGCAAGGAGCCGAGGAACTCCGGAAAGTAAGGATCTTCCGCCAGAGCCAACAGAGGGAGGCTTCCCCCGAATTTGCACTTCCAGCCTCCTGAACTGTGAGAAAATAAATTTCTGCTCTTTAAAGCCACCCACTTGTGGTATTTCTGTGACAGCAGCACTAGGGAACTAGACAATGACCGATGGGGCCTGACCAGTTGGAGGGTTGGGCTAGGGCGTGGATAAAGAGCCAGGTCTGGCTGGACGGTATCCGAAGTTAGGAAGAGATGGGCCCCACCCTGGCTCTTCTGAGACTCAGCAGAACCCCCTCACCCCAAACAAAAACAAAAACCCTGCAGAAACCTTTAGCACGCTGAGGAGTTTCCTCTTTATTCACACTACAGTAAAAGGTCTAAATTAATTTATATAAGGAACCTTTCTTTCTACAGTCTGTATCACGAATGTCACTCATTGCCAACTGCTCAAGGGGCAGGTGGCAGTTGAAGGGATTCTTGTGATACTACATTTCCCTACTGCCTGGTGGGGTGTGGGTAGGGGGCTGGTCCTGATGTGAGAATGGCAGGCGTTGAAGCCCACCTTGAGGTTCACTGTGCTCTGAAGACTTGAAACTTCTAGCCTTCTACATACTTTGCTGAGGTCAGTGGCTCTAGATAAATCTTCCCACTGCCTGACGTATTCGCCTGGCCACAGCCACACCCCACTGGAGGTATGGGGTCCTCTCTCAGGGGTCTTGCGAGGGCAGGACAGCTTCCACCTGGAAAAGAAATCATCCGCAGGAGTTACAGGCAAGTGGCCAACTAAGCAGAGAGGCAACTGCAAATAGAATTTCATTAAAAAAAAATATATATATATATATATGTATAGTAAAAGAAAGAGTCCTTCCTTACTTGGAACAGAAAAATCCGGATATTTTGGTAGCAGCCCATTATGCTGTAAAACTTTTGGAGGAGGAGCAAGTGGAGGTTGTGTGGCGCTAACTCCATAGATTCTAAAGAAAGAACGAAAGCCACAGAGTTACTCCTTTGTATTCATAATAACCAGAAGAAGAACTATAATCTATGCAGTCCTATGCAAGCATGTTATGTTTATTTCTAATCCTTACAACTATGCTAGAGGCAAGGACTATCATCCCCATTTTACAGAAGAGAACATTGAGGCCATGGAAGCCAACCTACGCAGTGCCCTAGTGTTCCCTGCCACCTCCCTCCCCAGCACCCTTGGGCCCTGGGCTGCTTTCCCAGCCCTGTTGCTCTGGCTGCTTCTTTTTATTCCCGGCCCCTCCCTGCAGCCCAGCAAAGACCACAGGCATTGCTGCTGGGGGATGCTGGGGTGAGGATGGGGAGCAGAGGGTGGCTGCCTACCGGAAAGGCCCGGCAGTTACCAAGAAGCACCTTCTATAAGGCAAATCAGACACAGAAATAGTCCTAGCCCTGGACTGAGGCATCTGGTAAACACCAGGTTCTGCTCTTCCCCTGTTCCTGTTACCTGTGCTTATGCTCTGAGCCAGACTTACTCCTCATATGGTTTTAGGCGCGCTCCCTTGGTCCGCTCCGTTATGTCCAGGAAGTCCTTGTAGCAGTTTCTGGCCATGACGGTGTACCGCGTGGCACAGCCAAGTTCAGTGACCCTGGCTCTGGGCAGGTAGCCCCCCCAGCCAGGGATCGGGGGCTCCTCGAGGGGTTTCTTTACATATTTGCATTCTGTAGAAAGACACCGTGTTTCTTGAGGGCTTTGGGAAGCCACCCAGCAGGCAGCATTCCCAAGTTAGCTGGCATCTCAACAGTGAGCCCATGGTGAACCCCCACCTGCAGATGTATTAAAAGCAACTACCATTGGTTCATTGATTCTGTGTGTCGAACACCTTGGTAGGGACTTTACATATATCATCTCATTGAATTCTCTCACAAACCATAAGAAGTTGGTAGCATTATTATCCCATTTTTTGGACGAGGAGACTGAGAGCTTAGAAAGGTTAAGACTTGGCCAAAGTCACACAGCCTGAAAGTGGTAGAGCCAGGATTCAAACTGGGGTCTCTGGTTCCCAAGTCCTTGCTCCTAAACAGATCCTGCTTCTTTCTCAGATTAATGAAAAAGCTTCAGAGGTCGCTCTGCGACCATTTACATAAGGTTAGGAGGAGACACCTCCTCAGCACCAGGAACCTGACTTTGGGTCATGATTCTAGCTCGGCTAGTTGTGTGACCTTGGACAAGTCACTTCCCCTTTCTTCGACTCAGTTTTACATTTGCGAGACAAAAGATTACTGGCCCATCTGCCTCCTCCAGTTGCTCTAAGGATCAAACTAGGCCATTGAATCTCAGAAAATCAGAGCTGGAAGGCACCTAGGATGCATCTAGTCCATCCTTCCCTGCCCTGGATGAAGAAACTGGAGCCCAGAGAGAGAAAGCAACCTGCCTTAGGTCACACAGCAAATAGTTGCACAGTAGGCTAAATCCCAAACTGTTGGGCCAATGTTATTTCTAATGGTTTGGAATTTTTTTAAGCACAGCAAACATTTATCATGTGTTCTTGAAAACTACCATTCCAAAAAAAATCACAAAAACAACAGCAGAAATGAACATTGCTTTTCCTATGGGTTGTTAGAGCTTAAAAATCATCTAGGTCAAATCACTGTTTTATGAATGGTAGTTAGCATAGCTACTTGCTTTGTGATTATTAACATTACATAATCATACTATTATTTGTTGTTGTTATTGTTATGGGGATTGTTATTCAGTGCCAGGCCCCCAACCCAGGAGCTGGGTTCAAACCCAGGTCTGCCATCAGAGCACAAGCACCGACCTCAGACAAGTGACCTTTCCTCTTGGAGCCTTATTTCTCCCATCTGTAAAATGGGAATAACAGTGCTGATCTCATAGGGTGTTGTGGGTGGTTAATGAAATAACGCTGCCTGGCACAGAGAAAGCAACTGAGAAATGGGACCTGCTGATACGGAGGCTGATGTCAGAAAGTCTGTGTACTTGCCCAGGGGCTCCTGCTTCCTAGACCAGCACCTCTTCTCTGACCAAGACCTTGCTTATGCCTTCTCCTCCGGGAAATGTTTCTTTCTCACTTTAAGAAACTGGGCCTTTGACACTCCACACTGATTCCTGGGGATTTGGAACTGTGCTGGATTTAGTGCTCTCTGTGGAGTCTCTGGGTGGTACGAACAGTTAACATGCTCACTGCTAACTAAAAGGTCGGCGGCTCAAGTCCACCCAAAGGCACCTAGGAAGAAAGGCCTGGTGATCTACTTCTGAAAAATCAGCCAATGAAAACCCTATGGAGCACAGTTCTATTCGGACTCACATGGGGCCACCATGAGTCAGAGTCAACTCGACAGCAACTGGTTTTACTGGTGGCAGCTCAGAGGGCCGGCTAGGATCTGCACTTGGGCCCGGGGGAAGGGGCTGGTTGCAGGCTGCGGTACCTAGACTCATGGGGTGGTATTGCTGGTAGTACTGGTGCAGCGCCCGAAGGACCGTCTCCTGGGAGCAGATGGGTTTCAGTTTCGGGGCAGCGGCCACGGAGCAGTGAAGTTCCTCCAGCTGGTCTTTGTATCTCCGCGTCTTCTCCTGGAAGGCTTTCAAACACTGGAACATGTTGTCCTCGCTGGGGGTGCCCTGGCAGCTGAGGAATGGCACGAAGCCTGCAAGAGCCGGCAGAATCACAGCCCTTCCTTAGCAAGGCCTTCAGCAAGGAACTCAAGCCCATCTCAACACCCCAGATGCCGGCCCACCACTTGGCGTTTCTTCCTTGCCCAACAACGCTGCACTTTTCCAAAGGCCATTACTACAAACAATGCTGTTGTTTCCACTGGGGCTGGGCCTCCCAAGGCCACCAGAAACGACCTTAGGGGTGGAGAGGAAAGGCCCATTTCAACAAAGGCAACGACAGTAATATTCTTTGATAGCAAAGCCCCGATGTCAGCAGAAACAGCAAATGGGAAAAGGGTTTAATGGGCCCAAATGATAGTCTGAGGAGTAATTGAAATTATTCATCTTTTTAGAGAGAAGGCTTATTTTCCTTGACACTTCCCAAAGCAATTTTGGATCTTTCTTGTCGGACCATCAGGAAATTGCAGACTTATTAAAAGCAGAGAGACCTATTACACAAAAAGGTAAATTCATTATCTGCGAGACCCACCCCTAAAACAATTTTTCACCATTTCCCACAAAATAACATATAATCATTACAATTAGTATGGGTAGAACACAACTATTTATTTAAACTGGACGCTGAATCCTAAGTCGTATAATACTGTCACAATAAAATCATTTTTTAAAAGAACATGAGGAAAAACTGGTTACGAATTTTGGTTTTAAACTTCAAAAATAATAATAAATATCTCTCAGTACTGAATAATAATAAATATCTTTTATTTTTGTCTTTGTCTTGGGTAAAGAAACCTGGCTTCCCAGCTAAATACAGCAACCCCCAGCCCTTGCAGTCTGCAATAGCCACCTCTGGGAGAATCTAATTGCTGGACTGATCTCGATGGTGCTGGTAATCCTCCACTCACCATCCAGTCTCCTCTACCTTTGGTCAATTAAAAGATCGCTAATGTCATGAGGGAGCCCTGGTGGCGCAGCGGTTAAGCATTCAGCTGCTAACAAAAAGGTCAGCAGTTCGAATCCACCAGCCACTCATTGGAAACCCTATGGGGCAGTTCTACTCTGTCCTATAGGGTGACTCTGAGTTGGAATTGACTCAACGGCAATGAGCAATGTCATGAGGGAGTCTCCGGGTGGTGCAATGGTTATAGCACGCTGGGCTGCTAACCAAAAGGTTGGAAGTTTGAGTCCACCCAGCGGTGCCTTGGGAGAAAGGCCTGGCAATTTACTTCCAAAAAATCAGCTATTGAAAACCCTATGGAGCACAGCTCTAGACTGACACACATGGGGTTGCCCTGAGTCAGAATCGACTCAATGACAACTGGTTTTTGATTCATGTCATAGGGGGGCAGACAGTAGAAACCCAGGAGCCCTTCCACAATGCTTTCTCCACCACCAGGGCCTACTTTGCCTGTAGATCTAATTCTGTATATGCGCACACATACAGGAATACACATTACCTGACTGAGTCTTGCTAAGGGCCAGAGCATTTTCCAGGTTGTATAGGCTGGCTCCTTTAATCCTCACAATCATCTTATGAGGAATCTAGCATCACTCCATATAGTGGATTGAACTATGTCTGTCCAAAAGATATGTCCAAGTCCTAACCCCTGGTGCTATATGACTTTATTTCCAAATGTGACCTTACTTGGAAATAGGCTCTTTGCATATGTAATCAAGTTAAGGATCTTGAGATGAGATCATCCTGGATTTAGGGTGGGCCCCAAATCCAACGGCTGGTGGAGAACGGAGAAGGATACTTGAGGCACACAGTCAGAGACACAGGGGAGAAGGCATGTGAACACCCAGGTGAAGAGAGAGACGGAGACTGGAGTGATGCAGCCACACATCAAGGATTGCCAGCTGCCACCAGAAGCTAGGAGACAGCCATGGGCGGATTCTACCTCCGAGCCTCCAGAAGGAACCAGTCCTTGATTTCAGACTTCTGGCTTCCAGAACTGTGAGAGAATAAACTTCTGTTTATATATTTAAGCCACCCAGTTTGTGGTAATCTGTTATGGAAGCCCTAGGAAATTAATATACCCCATTTTATTTTTTTTTTTTTAAAAAAAAAAGAGGCAAGACAGAGAGAAATAAGTCACTTACCTACAGTCACACAGGTAGTGGCCAAGCAGAGACCAGAGGCCCAGCTGGTCAGAATCCAAAGCCTGTGCTCCTAGCCAGCCAGTAGGATCAGGGTGAGGCTGGGCAACCTCAAGATATCCCCATGCACCACTCTGCTGAGAACAGCACTATACGAGAGCTGAGGGTCCATGGGGATCACTGGACTTGTCACCCACAGGGATGTAAGTTCTGAGTAACCCAGAAGCATGAGGAGGAGGAGTCTTTAGGTAGGGTGACCAGCTGTCCTGGTTTTCCAAGAACTGAGGGGTTCCCAGAGCAAAGGACTTTCAGTCCTGGCCAAACCAGGACAGTTGGTCACCTCCCTTTAGGGGAGACAGGAAGGAAGGGGACCATAAGAATTGCCCTCGTGCAAGACTTGAGAAAGCCCAACTTGGGAAGAAGGATTGGGCCTCAGCTTACTGTGTCTATTCTGATGGCAACTTGTCCAAATTCATTCAGCAGGCATTAATTAAGTGCCTCCTGTATACCAGGCTGTGCCCTGGGAGCTCCCATCTAAGTTAAATCCCTCCATTCATCAGAACCCAGCTGTCGTAGTTATCCAGTGCTGCTATAACAGAAATACCACAAGTGGATGGTTTAACAAAGAGAAATTTATTCTCTCATAGTCCAGGAGGCTAGAAATCTGAATTCAGGGTGCCAGCTCCAGGGGAAGGCTTTCTCTTTCTGTTGGCTTTGGGGGAAGGTCCTTGTCATCAATCTTCCCATGATCTAGGAGCTTCTCAGTGCAGGGACCCCAGGTCCAAAGGATGTGCTATTCTCCTGGCTCTTGTTTCTTGGTGATAGGAAGTCCCCCTGTCTCTCTGCTTACTTCTCTCTTTCATATCTCAAAACAGATTAAGATACAGTGTAATCTTGTAGATTGAGTCCTGCCTCATTAATATCATAGAGGTAGGATTTACAACACATAGGAACATCACATCAGATTACAAAATGGTGGACATTCGCACAATACTGGAAATTGTAGCTTAGCCAAGTTGACAGATATTTTGGGGGGACACAATTCAATCCATGACACCAGCTATCAGCCATCTCCAGCCATGAAGTGATCTCAACGTGTGTCTTAAAAGCTAGAGCACTGCGCAGTTGGCTGGACAGATGTGGACAGCAGGCCAAGGCGGGGATAGTGGCCAGGACCACAGTTCTCTTACCCGGCACATCTGCAGGTCATGTTACCACTTACCACTGTAGCCTGGTGTGATCGGCAAGTTTCTCATGAAGGTCTTAGAAGACTCCATGATTTTGTTTTCTGTTAATGAAGTGAAGGGAGAACGAAAATGTCTCATCAAATGTCCCTGCCTCAAGTACCTACTGCACACGTGGGAGAGCCCTGGGGGCTCAGGGCAGTGTGGGGAGAAGAGTTATCTTGTCAGGGGATTGGGACTGAGGGGCAGTACCACAGGCTTACACCAAGCTGGCTGATATGGCTGGCTTCAGTTATAAAACCAATGACCTGATGCCAAGGGCCCTTGCTTTTGCCATTAATTTAGATAACAGGTGTGCAGATCATCACCTACCTGCTGTCTCTCCTGCCCTAGAGACCACCTCCTATCCATCCATTCATCCAGCCATCCATGCAACAATCGGGGACTGCGCACACACTATGGCCATGAACCACTGACAGAGGTTGGGAATATAAAGATGAGCAAGATCCAGGAGCCTCCATGGAGAGGAGAGACCATGCCTTTCTTTATCCAGGTGGAATCAGGCTGCAAGGTTCTCAAGGGGTGGAGGAAGGGGTAGATTCCTACCCCACCCCACCCTGCCCCGGAGACATCTGGCAATCTAGAGACATTTTTGATTTTACAACTGGGAGAAGGGTGCTGCTGGCATGTAATGAGTGGGTAGAGGCCAGGAATGCGGCTAAACGACCTACAAAGCACAGGACAGTCCCCACCCCCATCCCACCAAAGACTTATCCAACCCAAACTGTCAACCGTGCCGAGGTTAAGAAACCCTGGGTTATGGTACATTCTGGTTGAAGGGATGAGGAAGTCCCAAAAGGCCAGCATGAAGCCCAAGGTGAGTGAACAGGGGGTGGTGGTGGGCCCATTCTAGTACGTTTATGTGATGCTGCCTCCCAGGTGAGACCCCTTCCCGCCTCAGGGACCGCCCATCGTCCCCCCAATTTGTGCCGGGCCTGCATCTGGCAGCTGTTGGTGCTGCCGTGTCTGTTTCTGCCAAGCCAGTTCATCTCTCACGTGATGCTTGGTGATCAGAGTGGCCTCAGGGGTGAAGGGGCGGGCGACAGTCCCGGTTTGGTCGGCGGTGATGGGAATCTTTAAAACAGTTCAGCCCACCCGGCTGAGAGCCTGGCAGACAGGGGGCACTGGTCCTAGAGTCAGACCCAAAACCAAACTCATTGCCACCGAGTTGATTCCGACTCACAGTGACCCCACAGGACGGAGCAGAACCGGCCTACAGGGTTTCCAGGGCTGTTTTCTCTACCGGAAGCAGGCTGCCACACCTTCCCCTCAGGGAGTGGCTGGCGGGTTCGAACCGACCTAGCAGCTGAGTGCTTAACCACTGTGCCACCAGGGCTCCTTAGAATCAGACAAGCCTGACTTATTCACAAGTACTTACCGACCACCTGCTTACCGAGATGTTCTATGTGCGTCAACTCTTCTAATCCTCTCAACAGTCTTATGACGTGTGTGGGCCACTGCTGAAGGGGAAACCCCATTTCCTTGTTTAATCTTCACAGCTGCCCTAAAGGCTAGTTCCTATTCCAGGCCCCATTTTACAGATGAGTAAAATAAGGCACAGATAGGCTAAGCAACTCCTCTGAGAATTCACAAATCTAAGGGAGTCTGAAAGAAGCCCTGGTGGTGCAGTGGTTAAGCGCTCGGAGCTAACGGAAAGGTCAGCAATGCAAAACCCACCAGCCTGGCCGCACTCCACGGCAGAAAGACGCGGCGGTGTGCTTCCCTAAAGATTACAGCCTTGGAAACACAGTTCTACCCTGTCCTATAGGGTCGCTCGGAGTCAGAATCCACTGGAGAGCAACGGGGTAAGGGAGTCTGAAGGGATCATCCCTAAACTCTGAAGGACAGGATTCTGTTTTCCAAAAGTGTGACGCTGGGGTGGGGGCGGTGCCTGGCGCTGGGTGGATGCGGACCACACTCCAGAGGGCTGCCTGGAGGAGGCGGGCAGGGATGAGCTGGGAGAAGAGGTGCTCCCAGGTCGGGAGCCGGTGATGGGTCAGAGGACGCGAACACCGACACCTCCAACAGCTCCTACACCGCCCCCACTCCCTGACACCGCCGCCGCCTGTGGCTCACCTGGGCCGGACGGATCGTGGCCCCGGGGTCTCCCGCCCGTCGCCCTGGCCCCCCGCGACGCCCGCCCGGCCTCCGGGCCTTTGTGCGCTCACCTCCGGGGGCGGGGCGCGGCGGAACCCCGGGGCCTCCTGGAGCCGCACGCCTCCTTCCACAGCCTAGCGCGCCCAGAATGCGGGGCGCCTTCCCCGCTCCCGGCCTGTCCCATGTGGAATCTGGGATTTGCCCTACAAATATTTAGCTCCAGAGCCGTTCTTCTACGGGCGCGGGGTGGGTGGGTGGGGTGTGCTTCTCGGTTTCGGTATTGGGGAGGGGGAACGCGGAGGGAATGAAGGTCAAAGCCACCATTTTAAGTGATGTAGAAACCGGCCTGGGCTTGGGCCTGGGCCCGGTTTGGAAGGAGGTGGAGGGAACAGGCCTCCCTAGGACGGACGTCAGGCTGTGTGAGGGGCCAGGGAGAGGAGGTAGCCGGGGAGGGACAGAGCTGCCTTGTGTCCCTGGGGGCTTCCAAATACAGGCGCTTCCCTGGGCTTATCAACCACCCCCCTTTCTGTCTCCTAATAGGAAAAACTGGATTTCCAGGGTGTAAAAGGGCCTGAGGGAGGCAGAAAAACCACAATGCACCCAAATGGAGGAAGGGATGCCAGGGGAAATTGAGTCATACAGTCCACTCCTTTCTAACCACCAGAGGCCCATCATTTTATGGGGACGGGGAGGGCCTGGATGAGTCGGAATTGACTCATTTGCAGTGGGTTTTGGTTTTGGGGTGGACGGTTTGGAGTCCCTGGGTGGCGCAAACGTGAACTACTCAGCTACTGACACACTTGACTCATGAGCGCTTTGAATTCACCCAGCCATTGAAAACCCTGGAAGGCGCAGTTCTACTCTGAAACACATGGGGTCGCCATGAGTCTGAATCTCCCCCCACACCCCCACCAGGAGGAGGGCCTGAGTTTCAGCACACTGGATTGAAACCCACCAAGCTGTCCACAGTATGAACCAGACTGTTGTTGTTAGGTGCCATCAAGTCGATTTTCAAGAGCAGAAGGGCCCCATAGGATTTTCTAGGCTGTAACCTTTACAGGAGCAGATTGGCAGGTCTTTCTCCAGCTGAGCGGCTGTGTCAGTTTGAACCGCCAACCTTGATTAGCAGCCAAGCGCTTAACCTCTGCACCACCAGGGCTCCTTCTGAACGGTATAGAGGGACAGAATGGTTCTTGGAGATAGCTAGTCCTACCTGCTCCCTTTACAGAGGAGGAAACTGGCCAGGGGCTAGATGAGCGCCAGGGGGCGCTACTTCCCAACAGTGTCTGCTTGCTGTCCCTCCCAGCCTTCCGTACCTCGACTCTCCGGGGAGTTGAACTTCATGCCAGTCATTCAGGAAGAAGCCATTTAGAACCCTCTCAGAGCCATCCAGAAGCTTCTAGAGCCACCTCTGGAGGGTGAGGCAGATAGAGTCTGGAATAAATCCAAGTGGTGCAGTGGTTAAACGCTCGCCTGCTAACCAAAAGGTCAGCAGTTTCAATCCAGCAGCCGCTCCTTGGAAGGCCTATGGGGCAGTTCTGCTCTCTCCTATAGGGTCGCTATGAGTCGGCATGGGCTCGACTGCAATGGGTTTAAGCCACAGTCAGTTTGGCGTGCCGGCTAGGATTGCAGAAGCCCCAGGCCTTCTGTGTTATGACTTTGCTTCCGGTGCAGTGGAGTTAGCAGTGGCCACCCCAACTTACCTGCCTCCTTTCCAGCTAGACCAGCTTCTAACTTGGGGGGAAGAGGCGCTCCAAGGACATTAATGGAGCCTTGGTTCCCATGTAAAAAAGGGGCTGGTCTTGTTGGAATAACTTAATAATCAATCTCCACCCGAGCTGGGTTGAGTGGAGGCTGTCTCTAATTCCATTAAGAAATCCACAGTACACACACACACACAAAATCTGGGCCACATGAGATCCAGAGTTTTGCTTTATTAGACGTCGTGAAGACAGAGTTTGCAGATAACAGTCCTGTCCAGTTGTGAACTGCTGCAAAGTTCTGTGAAGTTTGAATTTATCTTGAAGTGAACAAGACCCAATGGCTGATATTTTTAGAATATACTTCCATATTCCAAGCAAATGACAGGTGTGATGCTATGGCCAACAATGTTTATATACTAGTCATTCACTTAAGTCATTTCCCGGCATAAATATGCAGCTTAATCACAGCTATTATATCTCTGTAATGTAAAATTCGATCTTCAACTAATATTGCATTTTGACTCCTGTTTATATTGGTGCATGCGATTCTTTGCTACCGTGGCAATTCACCAGACCTGGACTCTAAAAGCTAAACTTGATCTAAATAACATTCTTAGGGTAGGGCAGGCTCTGTAATCTGAACTCATTTTAGCCATCACTCTGCAAAAACACTTGTATGTTCCTTCCTCTTTCCTATCAGTGTAACTTGTCTGTCAGTCAGCATTTATTAGTGCCTGATGCGCACAGAGAGGGCAGTTACAAAGGAAATCCTCGAAGCTCTCCTTCCAAGAGACGCGAACATCAGATAATATGCCAGGAACAATTGAGTAATCCATCAAGACAACAGACCTTCTAGAAACTAAGATGAGAAAGTGGGTCCAAGTGTACTTACCCAGTGCTCTTATTCTAGAATATTTCAGTGGGTGGGGTGGGGGATGGACTTGGGGGCTTCTTTTCAGGAGTTTTGACTACTGGGGTTGTATCTCTTCGGCCAGAAGAAAGTCCAATAAAATTACCACCTGCTTGATCATGTATTTGCCAATTCTGCAGAGTTCAACCAGCTCATTTAAGTAAGAGAAATAGATAAGGATAGATTCTCAATGCAAGGTGGGGAAGGCCTTCCATTAGCCCAAGAAAGTAGGGCTTGTCTATATTACACACTGAATCCAGTAGAAAAGCTAGATTGATGCACCCTTAAGTCCTTCTTTGGGACTGGCATACTGAAAGCATCACACACGGTGGACCACACTTTGCCCTCAGAGTGAGTACTTTGCTGCCCAAGGAGAGGTTGACTCCCTTGCAGGAATGCAAAGAGTTTTCGGAGGTTTTTCTGCACAGTCACATTGCTGACGGCACCAGAATGCTCCGCTCTCAGAGGCTGGACAGGAGAATCAATACATTATTATAACCCTTAAATACACACTGTGAACCTTTCAGAAGGATGTTCATGTAGAAGGGTCTGATGAAGCTGTTGATCCAGGTGGCCGTTTGTTCAAAGAGTTGTCGGACCCTAGGCACCTCTATTAGTCTTGCACACATAATCCGTAGCTTGGTATGGGTACAAATCGACGATTAGTGAGCACAATGAAGAAATGGAATCGAGGAAAACAAAGGGCAGCAATGTCATCAACAAAATCAAAGAGCATTTTTCTTTTTTTTATATACAAGAAAAGCACATTGTAGTAATGAAGATTCTGTACAGTCTTCTAATGTTGTATGTACATAAAACTATATTACTCAGAACTAAATTGAAAAGTCCTATTTGTAGAGTATGGCTGGCAACACCAAAGAAAGACCCAGAACATTTAGCTTTTGAAGCAGAGCAGGCAGCAAGAAAGAGAACACTAGCAAACCCATCTTTGTGCCTGACTGTGAAATCCCGCTACCAAGTTATGTGACTAGCCTTCTCGAGTTCTGTCGTTTCTTCGTGTTTCCCATCCTAGCAGGGAATTCTGCAGCAGGCGATGTGAATAAGACATATTAAAATGAAATGGGAAATGCTACTTAAAAATCTGCATACCAACTATGACCACGGGTTTGTGAATCCAACTTGCATTCTCAGTTCGCTCATTCTCCATTCATTATGACGCCAGTGATTTAAAATCAGAATGAATTCCAGCAGGTGGAAAAGACGGCTTTGAACAGATCAGATGGACTTCTATGAGTCAGATCCTTGATTCTTTTTCCTCAGTTGGCTCCCGGATGTTGGAGAAGACTGGCTTTGTACCCTGGTGAAGGATGGAACACAGACCCACCGGTTGACTGATTCTTTATTCAGTCCCGATCCTGATCCTAGGATTCCTTTCTTCCAATCATTCTCCTCTGCTGGTGGGGGACGGGGTTGGGGGGGCAAAGTAGGGCACATGCCCTGGGCGCTGCTTGCGGCGGGGCACCAATGAGTAGTTTCTATTGGCCATCAGAGCTTCCATCACCAGCTGAGAGATCATTCAGCAATTTAACACTAATTGCCCTGAGCGCTATTTTCCGTAGGTAGGCCCCTGCTCCCCAGGCCCTTCCTGTAATGGTTAAAAGCGCCAGCACCCAAGCCAGACAGGGAGCAAGCCTCATTCACCAAGAGGGCAAGGTGTGGGGTCACCACTCTTCAGGTGCAAACCCTCTCCCCATGGGAACCTAATGGGAAGACGGGAAGACTGGAAGACTGGGCGTGCAGGCTGTAATCTATGCCTCAGTTTTCGACCATAACTAAATGTAGTGATTCCTAGTTTTCAGGTGAACCACAGTCAGCTGTGGTGTGTACTAAAAAATGCAGATTCGGGGTCCCCCCTCCAAGATTCTGCTTCAGTTAGTCACATGGTTGGCATCCAGGAATCTGTTTTTAACAAGTACCCAGGGAACTCTGATGCAATTCTGACCTGCTTTAGGAAAAGAAAAAAAAAAAAGCTGGCTTAATTCATCAAGTATAGATCTACAATTTCTTTTTGGACAGACTGTAAAAACTGGAGATTTGAATGAAACATAGAAACACCCTCACGTTTCACCAGCGTATCCCTTTCAAAATGTGGGAACTATTGGCCGCAACTCTTCGGGGAGTGAGGGTGAGCAGGAGGAGGGAGTTAGTTTAAGAAATGTATGCCTTCAAAGCAAGGGACCATTCCAGACTCTTGGGCTTGGTGATGTGAATTTGGCAAATTGCAATTCCATCTTCTCACCTAGAATTCCTACCAAGATTAACTAGAATTAATTATGGATTCAGCAATAAGGATCTGCATTCAGGGAATTATATCACAGCATAGGTATAATTTGGGGAATGTCAGCAGCTCTTAATAATATCTACTTCCATTGAAGCTAAAAAGTTGAGGGTACCAGCTCTCCTACTCACAAGAACCCTAGTGGATTAGCCAAGGCCACGGTCTACGGTTCTTCCTCTCTGAACCTATTTGGAATTTAAATGATATGAGAAACCAAAATAGTGCCCAGTGTAGGCAGCCTTCTCCCACCAGCTAAAAACACTCCAACTTCTCGATGAATCACCACTTTTAATCACATGATGATGGAAAGAAATGAAGTGCAGGTGGGTGGCCTCAGATATGGGCTGCCATCTAAAAACTTGTAAAAAGAAAAGTCTCAGAGAGAGAAAGAACCTCCTCTTGGCTCAAAGATCTCATTCAAATCCAGCAAGAGAGCAGTAGGGCTTCCTGAATTCTCCTGCACCGAGATCTGTTCAAAGCAGGCTCCACCACAGCTGCAGAAACATACTGATTCCGTCGTTGGTGGCAGTCTCCCCACGCGTGGCCCTGTGAAAATGAGCGGCTCTCCCAGGGCCCAGGAGCTCCCTACTCCCAAACCTCTATCTCAGTGTGACTCTTTTTCCCACTCCAGTGTGCCTTCAAAAATTCCTAGTTACTTCTTGCCCTGGTTGTTCTCATCTTGGCTGCTGAATTCAGGTGGGTCATGTCAAGGGTCAAGGTCAGGGAAAGAACAGTCAGGACTGAGGTCTGCAGGCGCCGGTGAGCTGAGTTCAGGTGAGCAAGAGGCAGGCAGGGCCAGTTAGTAATTTAGGAAGTCAATCCCAACTTTGACACTCTTGGAGGTGGCTATATCAATGGCCGTGGCCTTGATCTCGGTGTCCCCAAACTGCATGAGGGTCTGAATCTCCCTCCTGGCGGGCACGGCTGTGCCACTGGTGCCACTGAGATCCAGGCGGAGCGTGCCGCACTTCTTCACCCCAGGGTCGGTGATAAAGCTGACGTTATCCAGCTCAGAGCTGTAGATGTTGATGACAATGACCAGCTGGGACGGCTTGGCCGGGGTATAGCTCCGCTTGACCAGCTCGCCCAGGGCCACGGACTGGTCGGCGGAGATGAACTTGTCAAAGACATCCGTGCACCAGCGGGTGCCGTCCTTCACCAGCAGCTTGTCGGGCGGGTGCTTGCCCTCCACATAGCGGTTCAGCACGCCCACCCCGTAGGTGAGCGGGGACCGGCGCACCTTGATGACAGCCGGGTCCAGGCCGAAGAGGACGGCGCCCTTGAGGATGGTGAGACCCACATCCTGGGGGATGATGATCCGGCACTTGTCGCCAAAGGCAGTCTGTACCGCCTGCTGCAGGAGGGGCGCCTCCGCAAAGCCGCCCACCAGGAAGAGGAACTTGACGGTGGACACCTCGGGCTTCTGAAACAGGTCCCCTGAGAGGGAAGAGGAAGGGAGAACGTCTTGTCAGCAAGGGCCAGCAGGCAGGAAGAGCAGACGGCCTGAGCCTGTGGGGAATCGACAGAACCACTTGGGCCGAGCGGAGGACAGGCTTAGTCTGAGCTCTGGAACAGAATCTCTGTAGAGCTGATCTTTCAGAGAAAGGGGTTGACTTCCGGTTTCCGGCTGGCCGGCATGTAAAGAGCTTGGAAGTCATCGCTCCCATCCCCAGAACAAGAAGAGCTGAGAAACTAAAAATCAACGATTTCTCTCAGAGGCAGCGGAGAATTAGGGGCACAGGGAAACCTGCCACCATGAAAACTGGATCAGGCAGGCTGACAGACTCACCACTTAGCAGAAGCAGCAGGGCCCCGAAGCCAGAGGGATACTTAAAGGGTAAATGACTAATTGGAGTCCCTCAGTTGTGCAAACGGTTAACACCCCAGTTAGGCTGCTAACCCTAAGGTTGGAGGTTGGAGTCCAGCCAGACATGCCTCAGAAGAAAGGCCTGGAGATCTACTGCCAAAAAAATCAGCCATTGAAAACCCAATGGAGCACAGCTCAACTGTGACACACATGGGGTCACCATGAGCCAGAATAGCCTCAACAGCAACTGGTTTGGTTAACTGACTAATTGCTGGAGACTGAGATGGGCAAGCTTGAGAAATAAAAAGCCCTGGAGGTCCAGCCTTAGGGGGTCCCACATTTTCATGAACTTCACCTCCAAGAGCCCCATCACGTTCTCACTAAGAAGCTCAGAGAAAAATCCTCTTGGGCATCCTACTGGCAGGGGGAGGAGAAAAGTTCTCCTTAACAATGGACTGCCCTCAAGGGAAACTATTTAACCAGAGCCTAACAAAGGCGGGACTTATCAGAGCCCCCTAGACTGGAAGACACTGGAGATACGCAGTGGCTGCAACAGTGGACTTGAGCAAACCAACAGTGCTGGGCTGGGCAGCGTTTGGTTGTGCTGTGCATGAGGTCGCCACGAGTTGGGGGTGACTCGATGGTAACTAACAACTAACCAACCTGGGGGAAGGGGATTACCCAACTCCAGCCCCGTTCCAGCCTTCCTGCTTCTCCTAGGGAGTGGAAGGGGGTTTGTGGACTAATACGCTCAGGAATAAAAACCAAAGCTGCTGCTAAGTGGAGACCTACTTTAACAGATAGATGGTAATTTTAAGTGGTAATTTGTTATGCACAGGTGAACACTCTCGTGGTTCTATGGAGTTAGTAAAGGTAGACTGTTATCAATATTATTCTTTGGTTTTCATAACAATGCCATCCCGCCCCTAGGGGTTTTGATTTGGTAGGTGAGGAATGGGAAGTGGATGGGGGCCTAGATACTGATCAGGGTCCCCCATGTGTGTCCCTGGGTGAGGACCACTGATGTAGCGGGGTAACTACATGGCCCTCTTGCATGAGATCTTCCTTTGATTCACAGAACAGTTCCTTCTCCCCGGCAAACATTATGATTCCTGATTTGTCCTGGTAAAAGCAAAGCATAGCCATCCTCTAGGACCTGTCGCTCTAGGATAATACTTTCGAGCTCCCAGCTCTCTGACTTTTAAAGCCAGTCTGAAAGCCCAGGTGAGGACAGGCTGCCTGATGTGCCTGAAAGGAGGGACCCCAAGCCTCCACCCAGCAACCTCCCTTGGCCATGTCCAGGGCCTGCCCACTCGGGGGCTCTGGCCCTGGACCACCTGCCAACCTGACTTCTCAAGCACTAATTGATGACACTGGAAAAATCAATCCCCATTCCCGCCTCTGCCCACCGAGCGGCCGAGCCCTGGCAGACACTTACGGAGATGCTCAATGATGCTGTCGATGGTGGGCTTGAAGAGGGCGTTCATGGCATCTGGACTCATCCTCAGCATCCCCTGCGAGGACCACTTCACAAAGTCCACACTACAGGGCGTGGCACAGAGGAACACGCAGTGAGTGTCTAAACAATACCCAGGCTTATCTGCACAGACGTAAACCCTGGCAGAACACCCTCGCCTCTAAGGGGGCAAGAGGGGTTGAAAGTCAAAAGCACCCTTGGAGATCCCCTAAACTGCCAGGACCTGGACCCTCAGAAGCTCAAAAGCAAAGACATAACCTCTTCTATCTTCATTTTTGGCTGCGGCTGACCTTGGATCCAAAAACCAGACCTGCTGCCATCAAGTTGATCCGACTCATAGTGATCCTACAGAACAGAGGAGAACTGCCCCACAGCCTTTCCAAGGCTATGATCTTTACACAAGCAGACTGCCACATCTTTCTCCACGGAGCAGCTGGTGGGTTCAAACCACTGACCTTTCAGTTATTCCCCTGGGAGAGTGGAGGTCAAAGTCTAGTGTGAAAGACGAGGAGGTAATAAATGGAGCGCCCTCTTTTGGAAGACCACAGATAGCTGGATTTGAGTACGTTAAAGGCTTGTAGGACGTGTTCGTTGTACTGCTACCTAAGGCCGCACATGCGCACGGTACACCCCCTGCAACCTCCCAGGCACCTATCATGTGACAGTGATGAGCCTGGTTGTCCCCTCCCCGACTTCTCTGTCAAAGGGGCAGGAGGTCCAGAAGCAGTGGCACGGAGCAGAATAAACACGGACAGGGAGTTGGACTGCTGGGTTCTAGTCCGGCCTCCACCACTTAGCAGCTATGGGGCTTTAGGCAAGTTGGCTAACGTTTTCTCTGAGCTCCAATTTTCTTGTCTGGAATCAAGGATAATATTATTTGCTTTACCTCCCTCACAGGGGTTGTTGTGAAGATCAAGTTAAATACTATGTCTGTGAAAACACTTGGGAAACTTTCTGGCACAAAAAGAATGTCAAAACAAACAAACAAAACACCACCACCACCAAACCCACTGCCATCGATTCCGCCTCACGGCGACCCCATGTATTACAGAGTAGAACTGTTCTATACAGTAATCACCAGGACATTCTTCCATGGCACTGCTGGATGGGTTCACACCACCAACCTTTAGGTCAGCAGCTGAGTGCAACCATTCGCTTCACCCACGGACCCTTAAGCAAACGCCAAGGACTGTTTATTACCCAGACCCACAGTGTGTACCTCTCCTGTTCTAAAGTTCAAATGGCGTCTCATCTCTGTCTTTGAAGCAAAGCGCACACCAGCTGCTTCCTGGCAACACATTCTGGATGCTTCCAGGCCTCCCAGACGACGGATTCTTTCCATGGCCTTGGCCAAAGGACAGCGTGGTGTGGTATGGAATGACCCAATGGCTGGCTGCAGCCACATTCCTAGTAGGAGAGCTTGAAGGCTCTTGGGCGTGCAGGCAGGACTTGGGGTTCAACTCAGCGCAGGTGCCCTCTGTGGGGGACCATCAGGGCAGAGAAAGCATCAGACTGGTAAGAGAGCCCAACTAGGACCCTGCTTCATGAGCAAGAAGAGCTGGAGTCAAATCTACTTTGTTTCCACTAAAAGGAACCAGGGCGTCTTCGAGAAATGGCTGAAGATTTCAGGTCTCAAGGAGGGATGGTACAAGATGAGCCTGCAGCATCTTCACCCACCGGAGAGCAAAGGCACCATCTAAGACCACGAGAGTCATGTCAAAAGGACTCGGGGGCGAACCTGAAGGGGCTCCTACTTGCCAAGATGGACTATTTGAGCATCAGTAAGGATACAGCTACCAGGGTTGAAAATATATAAAGTCTGCCTAAACCCTTGAATTCTTAATGATACCCTTTCCTCGTGCTCCCGCAGAAGAAAAGAAAACTCATTAGTCACTTGGAAGATATTAGGAAACCAACTCACTTTTTTTTTTTTTTTTTAAACTTATAAATGGAGGGAAAGAAACAAGCATTTATTCTGTCTTTCCTGTACTAACTGAATTTCTGGGCAACCGAACTGCTGAAGAGAAATTTTCCCTCTCTAGGAATACTCTAGCTAATAAGTGAAGAATGAATGACAATCTAAGAAGATAATGCAGCCCCTCAAAGGTAACAGACGTGGGTAATGATCCTGACATCATGCGTGGTAAAGTAGAGGGTCAGCGAAAAAGAGGAAGACCCTCAATGAGATGGACGGACACAGCAGCTGCAACAATGGGCTCAAGCATAGCAATGATTGTGAGGATGGTGCAGGACCAGGCAGTGTTTCATTCTGTTGTACGTGGGGTCACTATGAGTCGGAACCGACTCAATGGTACCTAACAAGGACAACAACAATGATCATGAAAGGCTGCTAGCATCACAAGAGAAGATGTGATGCAATAGGAAAGACCACCACCCATGGAGGAGACTTGCCCAGAGCTCAAATTTGAATCTGATTAAGCTTCTAGAACCTTCTACCAACTTGAAAAGAAAAAACATCGAGGGACAGAAGAACAGGATGTGACGAGTAAAACCCAGACTGCAGGAAACTCTACAGGACAAACAACCAGTTTCATCATCTAATAAATAGCAACGACAAAAAATAGGTGGGAGAAACTATACATTACATAAGATGTGCGAGGCATGTCAAATAATTACTATAAACGGCCCTTATTCGGATGCTGATGCAAACTGTGAAACACTTCATGAGACAACTGGGAAATTGCGAATGCTAACTGAATATCTGATGATATTGAAGAGTTGTTCATTTGTAGGTGTGATAATAGTACTATGGTTATGTTTGAAAATTTATCTCCCTTACAGATACATACTGACATATTTATGGATTAGATGATATTATATCTGAGATTTGCTTTAAAATAACTGAGGGGAGTACAGGTGAGGCTAGAGACTGGCCAGGAGCTGACAATTACTGAAGCTGGATGACAAGGCTTTGTAAATGTTTGAAATTTTCTACTAAAAAAGGCTTTTAAGAATCTATGATCTTTGTCTACTATTTTTTTCATTCATCCTTAAAACAGCTTCCACATATGTTCTTTTTGCAACAATCTGAGCCACAAACACTTGCCTGCATCCCAGGACTCAGCATAGCCTGAAACCCAGACTCTTACAGAATTCACTCAACAAACATTTACTGAGTACCTACTACGTACCAGTTTCTATTCCAGACACTGAGGATACAGCAGTGGCCCAAACAGACAAACTTTCCTGCTTTCACAAAGCATCTATTTTTTAGTGGATAATAACAGGTAACACGTAGATAATGCTTTCCTAACATATATGAACTCATTCCATCCTTATAACCACCCTTCAAGGTAAGTGAAATTATTATCCCCATTTCCCAGGTGAAAAAACCGAGAACAGAGAAGTTGAGTCACTCACCCAAGGACACACAGCGAGTGTGTAGGATTGGAACCCAGGCCATCTGGCTTCAGAGTCCATCTGGCTCCAGAGTCCACGCCCCCCTCCCTCCTTCCCATCAACCCTGAGAACGTCTCAGCCATCAGTGAGGCCAACTCACTTGCTCTTCCTCAAGGCGTGCTCCACGCTGTGCCCACGGAACTTCTTGTAGTAGTCAATGAAGGAAAAGGGCAGGGTGATGTTCAGTGGGTTGGTTCGGTCCGGGGCAGCTGCCCTCTTGCGAGACTCAAACGCAATCATTAAGTCGACCCAGGCCGCAGGACGCTTGATTTTGAATTGTTCGATAAAATCCTCTCCAAATATTTTACACAGAAGTTTTTCAAATTCAAGATCTACTCCTAAAGATCCATAGGGTCCACCTGAGTCAAGGACAAGATGGAAGATGACCATGTTAAAACCATCGGACGCTGAAGCCACACTCTGAGAAGCAGGTCTACCCTGTGTTCTTCCAGGAAATACAAAGCAGCAGGAAATTAAACCTACTTTGCGAGCAGACTGCAACTGTGCATTATAATTTACACTTCAAAACCCTCAGGTTGTTGTTATTCCATGGGAAGAAACTTTTTTTCCTACACAAATCACTCAACAACAATCTGTTTAAAATCAATTACATTTTAAATAAAATCAACACATTTAACTAGCTGTGAGCATCATGGTATTCCCATCCAAGAACGCCAAGGACAGGAAAATCAGCAGACCTCACACACTCCCTGTGATGGACTAATTACTCAGTACCCTCCTCTCCACCAAGGTAAAGAACATGCTCTTTGGTTTGGCACCCTTGGTCCAAAATCAGGTGTCCCGGGACCTCCCTAGAAAGTTAACTGTAGCAGCTAAATCATAGTTGGCATCAGGTTACAATCACATCCTTCCAGGACTTTCAGAAACGAACTCCCTTGGCCAGGATCTAAAACAGGCTCCCCTTATGCCAAAGGAAACCCTAGTGGTGTAGTGGTTAAGAGCTCGGCTGCTAATCAAAAGGTCAGCAGTTGGAATCCACCAGGCGCTCCTTGGAAACCCTATGGGGCAGTTCTACTCTGTCCTGTAGGGTCACTATGAGTCGGAATCAACTTGACGGCAACAGGTTTGGTGTTGTTTTAAAGAACGTTTTAACTGCATTTTGTGTTCCAATTTCAAACAGGCCTTAGTATTCTCTACTGCCTACAACCCCCCATGCTGGTGACATGGAGAGTAATCTAAAATGGGCGAATCGGAACTGCCTGGAAACATCTCAGGAGTGAGAATGTTAGTCATGCAAGAGCTCACCTGTTGCTTTATACAGTTCCTTAAGGTGTCCCTCTGGTAACCGTATCTGATGGACTGTCAGGTCCACAGTGCCACCTCCACTGTCCACAACCACGTACTTATCACCTGGTACAAAAGCAAACAGCCATGTTTTACATGGATGGCTTGATTGCCCCCATCCTGAAGCACACTGATGGGTGATGACTTGGAATACTGAGCTAAGCATCATCAACATTATTAATTAGTATAATGGCTTTGCTAATTAGCAGCACAGAGAGCTATTCGTGGTTAGAGAGAATGCAGTCATATCTGCCCAGGAGTGACAGTTAAGCATGAATGATAAAGAACCGAGATGAGTGACTCTTTAAGACTAAGGCATTCATATCAGTGCTGCGTACCTCGCACGTCCATCATGGGCAAATCCCTGCCATGTTAACGGCGCCATAAAATTACCTGCTATTTAACACAAGACTTCCTCTGGAACTGGTGAGTTCCAATTCCTATCTCTTCTATGAAGTCTACATGATCTTACAACATGCAAAATTATAGCTCCAAAAAGAGCTCTCTCTGGGCGGGTGGTCTTTAAAACCAACTGATTTTGAACATTTTCCAAAAGTACAAAAGGAGCGAATGGGAATGCATTTTTGCCAGCAGCACAAAAAAAAAAAAAAAAAAAAAATCCAGCAAGAGCAAAGGACATTCAAGGACGCTACCTTCCTCCAGCTCGGACCAGATTTCTCCTATGACATTCTCCACCAAAAAGGTCCGACTCTGCCGGTTACGCCGGATGTGTTCCTTAGCTAGTGGCCGACAGAAAGAAAATGACGATGGGTAAGGAGGCATAAAAAAGCAGACAGTCAGCTGTGATCAGTGGAGGCAATAGCATGAGGAGGTTTAGGGATGGAACATTTAGTGATACTCGATCAAAATGATTCAGGAAATACAACATCGGGAATTGCAAAGCCAGCTCTTCCAAGAGAAAGCTGCTCTTTCCACCAGCCCTGGTCTAGTCATTGGCTTGGCAGCTTTGGCCTGTGCCCTGCTGAAAAGCGTACTCTGATGACATGACCTTCCCTTCCTCCAACGACAGTTTTTTGGGAATGGTTAATAAAATCAGCTTATTTCCTGGTTCGGCTGCCCCAGGGAGGAAGCTGTCTGCCAAGCAGCTTGCAGTGTGACTTGGTTAAACAATTTCACATCAAGGAACTTTGTCTGCTGCAAGGAATGTGGGGTATGTTTTCCTAATCTGGATCCTGGATGAACAGGACAAGAGCCATTTTCTGACACTGTTGAAGCCAATATGCGCTTCAGCCACACGGTGGCGCCTCCGCCCCAAGCAGACCCATCTGAACGTACTGAAGCCCTGCACGCCTTCTTCATGAACGCCGCTGCGGAGGACAGCCTCTGCTTGAGTCCACTGCCCTGACTATGGCCTGGGGTAGTTTGTGCTGCGACACCTTGCCTGGGGCATTTTCTCTCTCACAGCCCTCCCAGCAGTCCTCTGAAGCAGACAGGGCACAAATTATTGTCCTTGTGTTCAGATGAGGAAACCAGGTCAGGAGAGGTTAAGGGACTTGCAGTTCCCACGGCACTGTCCTGCTGCCCGACAGTAACCCTCGGACAACAGACCCTCATGCCTTGGAGATTTAACAATTTGCAGTGAAGTCTGAAAAATCAGAACAGTGGAAAGTTAAGAGATGGAGAAGGTGCTGTGAGAAGGCACAGGCAAGGTAGGGCCAGACAGAGTTTGGGCAAATCACTTCACCGCTCTGGGCCTCAGTCTCCACATCTATAGAATGGGGATGATGTCACTTGGCCTAAGCTCCTCACAGGCAGGGTAGGGACCCAGTGTGGCATCTGTCACATAGGAGGTGATAATGAAGGCAAAGCACCTAGTATGAGACCTGGTACTCAACAGATGATAACTACTATAGGGTAACTATGAGTCAGAATTCACTAGATCAACAGCAATGGGGTGTGAACAATTTAGAGTAATCCCTGGTGCTGCTGACTCTGACTTGCCCTACAAATCCCTCTGTTACAGTATATGTCCCCCAGTACAGCATCCTTGCCTGCGGGCCTCTTTCCACAAGGAGCACAGTGTTTGCGGAACAACTTCTTCTCTGGGGATTAGAACGGCAAAGACCCAGCCAGGCAGGTCCTTTGGGCCCTGGTTCACAGGGAAGACGCTGCCCCCTGATTAAAGGGTCCTGTAGCCTGGAGGGAGCCCCAAGCTGGGGGTTTCTCTCCCGTGCCCAGCACCAGCTCCACATGAATTTATTGTACAGGCCTTGTAGTCGGTATTTGGTTTCCTAAAACTTTCAAGATGGCTAACTAAGTGGCATTCATAAAAAACGGCCAAAAAAGGCTAATAAAACATGCTCTGAGCTTTCAAAAAAAAAAAAAATTGTCCTGTTTTTCAGGCTAATTCAATTGAATATTGTGGAAAATGTACCCTATATTGACCTCATTAAATTAGCTGAATAAAATAATACAGGCTGCAAATCCTGTGGCCATGGGGGCGGGTGGCGGGGGAAGGCAGGGAGGTGCCTGCTCCATTTCTGCTCAGCAGAGTTCAGAAGAATGGGCTGGGGTCTCAGGCCTCGAACAGGGTGCTCTTGATAAACAGCTCTCTCGGGCATCCCCTTGCAGCACCCCCTCCTTCTGGGGGAGATGTTCTAACTGTAAAACAATGCTGAGACCAGACTCAGGTTGAGGGTTTCAAAAACAAAAAAAAGCCCTCTCCACACAGGGAGACAACATGGAATTCCACACGTCACAGGACACAGACGCAGAGCCGTGGCAGGGACACAGGAGCCATTAAAGGGAAGGAAACCAAAACCTGAGTTTTCAGGGAAGGCAAGCATTCCAAACCAGGTTTGTTTCCCTCCAATGTGAGCGTTATGCTTCAGAAGCACTGAGGAGAATTAGTTCATGCTGTGACATGAATTTCTGTTAGGAACAACTGGGTGAGAATCAGCAGGTAAGACATACAAGCCAGTCATTCCTCTTATTTCCCATAAAAACAAGGAAGAAGGAAATTTAAAAAAATATGTCATCCTGAGTATTCAAAACATTAATGCATTTGATTTACTTAACAGTAAGGCTGGACTGGGCATGCCTCGGGGGAGGCCTCGCGTTGCTAGAAAAAGGTAAATGGAGCCCTAAGATTTGAAGGGAAGCCTGTTTCCGTTCATTCCAGCTAAATCAGATCAAAAGGTGCTAAGAATGCAGGTACTACCAGCAAGCAGAGGCAGTGGCCTGGGGACAAATAAACTTTTTGCCACGGCCTTGTGCCTAAAGGTAACAGGCTCCTAAATCTTGGGTTTAAAATGGAGAGAGGTGGGCCCTTGGGCAGAGTTAGCCAGGTTACTGCTGTGAGGAGGAAGAAGGGAGGCCTGGAAGAGACCACCATCACCATGTGGCCAGCCATGGCAGCCGCTAAGCGGGAGACCTGGGTCCAGGACCTCGGGGAGCGCACAGGATGGCGGGCTTCAGGTGTGGGGACCAAAGGCAACTTGGGAACAAGGCTGTGGGAGCAACTTGTTGACAGTCCCCGTAGTCTTCCCTGTCCTCCTGGACCTGGGGCCTTCCAGGGCAGGATAAGGGTGGCCATGGGTGCAGGGTGGGTTTCTGCCCTCAAGGCCCTCTTCTGGGAATGGAACACAGCTCAGGGCTGCACACAGAGCCAATCCCTACAGGGCGTTGCCCGTTAGCTCCATCGCCCGCGGATGGCCACACGCCTGAGCCAGCGTGTCTGCAAACTCTGCGGCCCTGGACAGACCCACAGAGCTCTAGACCCCCGAGACAGCAGTTCTGGGGGCTGAGACTGGTGACAGCTGACACAGTTAATACCAGTTGCCATCAAGTCGATTCCAACTCATGGCAATCCCATGTGTGTCGGAGTAGAACCATGTACAACAGTTCCACTCTGACATAGTAGGTGACTATGAAAGAGAAAGAGCTCTTTTCCCTGAACGAGCACCGCCTGCGCCAGGAAAAGATAGCTCAACTCATCCATAATTTTTTTATCCATATTTTAAACTCTCAGCAGCTTGCCAGCTAGAGCACACAACGGGTTTATCACACATGAAATGAATGGGTGAGTGAGTCAGCCATGAGTCAACAGTCTTAATGGAGCAATTAATAACAGGTAAGTGGGATTAGATTGAGAATCAGTTAACAGATGAGATTAAGAGCCTAGGAGAATAATGCAAGGCCCAGAACTGCTCTCAGGCCACCCTCCGGGTCTTGGAGAGAAGCCTCCCAGCCCCCTAAGGCACTAGGGTGGATGCTGAACCCGGATAACCACAGCTTAGTTTGCGGGGGTCCTTGGAAGAGCCAGGTAGGGGGCTGAGCACAGAGGTGCTCAAAGCCAACCTCCTCCTGGGGTATCAGGATTCTTTATTCCAGCACTAAGTGCCTTTAACATAATCTAAGGTCCAGAGCCATCTAGGAGGCAGGAGGGGAGGGGAGAGAAGGAGGGAAGGGGAGAGAGAGAGCGCGAGGTACCCTGTGCAAACCCAGCTCCTACTGTGTCACTGGCGCTGTACCCATTGACCGCAGCCTTGCTGCTCAGCTCCATCATCTGGTGCAGCCGCAGCTTCCGGCAGTAGATGGAGGCCGCCTCGGGCTCCAGGGCAATGATGAGCTGCTCCGAGTTCTCAGGGGAGGCCAGGCCCGCCTGGAAGATAGAAGCGGAGGTTGGAGCCTGGGGCAACCTGGGCAGGCCCATTCAGAGGCAGCCAACTTGGAGGCAGCCAACCCCGAGACCAACACCCCTTAGGAAGGGACACTCGTGCTCTGTGTTTTTGGGAGATTCTCTCCACAGGCCTCCACAGAGCATAAAAGTCAAGATTTGGGGATCGTCAAAGTGCTGAGCTCCAAGCCAGATACCTTCAACACCTCACGCAAGGCTCTCTGGGTCACGGAGCCAGTTGGTCTGAGGGCTTGCTTGGCTCAGAGCAGAGTCCTTGGATGGTGCAAACAATTAAGTACCTCACTACTGTCTTAGTTATCTAGTACTGCTGTAACAGAAATACCACAAGTGCATAGCTTTAACAAATAGTTATTTATTCTCTCATAGTTTAGGAGGCTAGAAGTCCAAATTCAGGGTGCCAGCTCCAGAAGAAGGCTTTCTTTCTCTGTCAACTCTGGGGAAACGTCCTTGTCATCAATCTTCCTCTGGTCTAGGAGCTTCTCGGTGCAGGGACCCCAGGTCCAAAGGATGCGCTCTACTCCTGGCACTTCTTTCTTGGTGGTATGAGGTCCCTATCTCTCTGCTTGCTTCTCTCTCCGTTTACTTCTAAGATAAAAGGTGATGCAGGCCACACCCCAGAAAAACTCCCCTTACTTTGGATCAGGGCTGTGACCTGAGTAAGGGTGTTGCATCCCACCATAATCCTCTATAACATAACCTGATCTTGCCTCAATAACCACAGTCAGAGATTACGATTTACAACACGTAGGAAAATTACATCAGATCACAAAATGGGGGACAGTCACACAATGCTGGGAATCACGGCCTAGCCGAGTTGACACATATTTTTCAAAGACACAATTCAATCCATGACAACTATTAACCAAAAGAATAGCAGTTCGAACCCACCCAGAGGCACCTTGGAAGAAAGGTCTGGCAATCTGCTTCCAAAAAATCAGTTACTGAAAACACTATGGGGCAGTTCTACTCTGCACACATGCGGTCGTCGTGAGTTGGAATCGACTTGAAGGCAATGGGTGGCCTAGAACTAAGGAACACAAGAGGGGAAGGCTAGGAGAACACAGACTGTGGGGGTGCAGGGGAGGGTCTGTGCTCATGGGTGGGAGGAACTGAGCTCTGAAGGTCCCAAAACGCTTGCAAACCATCACAGGACTGAGGGCAGACAATCTGCTTCCGGTTACAATGGGCCAAAGGATCTGACCCAGTTGAAGCAAACCACAGTCTTTGGTGGCTGAAAAATCTACACTTGCGAAAGCACCATGGGGAACTCAGGGACTTCCTATTAAGGAAAAAAGCTCAAGACTTTGCTGCCTCAAAAGTCAGATTACTGTCCTTCTGTCCCATTGGGACATCATTCTACAGGTGGCATTTGCCACAGCAAGACCTTCACGTGGCCCAGAGCAGTGGGGGCCCTAGCGGTGGCAGTGGGAGACAGGAAAGGAGAAAGAAGAGCCGCGAAGCCACGTCATTCACCTACGCATACCTTTGCTGAAATCCTAGCAGAAGTCTGATTGAGATGTGAACCATTTACATGCAAAATCAAACTGAGAAGTCAGCGGAGCGAAGAGCCTTGAGGAAAAGGACACAACTCGAGGGCGTGTGAGGGGACCTGGGGTGTGACCGACAAGTCCAGCGAGATGACCCCCCACGGGGACAATCCCACATCCTGAGGACTGACCTGAATCTGGCCCTGTGTACATCTGCCCAAAGAAGCAAGGGTTGCCCCCCTAAGAGGAAGCCTTTCATCTGTCCTTCCCCAGCTGGGCTGGCTTAGCTCCAAAGCACAAGCTTTGACTTATTTCCATAGGGGGTTCCTTGCGGTACCTACAGATAGGGGAGCAGAAGGAAACAGGACCCCAAACAGAGTGAGGAGGAAGGTCACAGTGGGACCGTGCAGTGTCTGGGGAATCCTGTCAAAGCAGCCACACTCCTTTGCTCCAGCCGGCCCCCATCAGGCTCCCCAGCGAGAGAGAGGGGCGTGTCCCCCCAGCAAATTCCCACAGAGGAGAGCTGACAGGGAGAGGCAGGAGGGAGGTGGCTGGCTCTAGACAGGCCACAGGGGAGGGTCCCAGAGCTGCTGGTAGACTCCAAGAAAAGGAAATGCAAAAGAATCCCCCAGACTCTGGAAAACCCAGATGTCTTTATCTCCCTGCATGCAGGAGTATCCTGCAGGAAGTGTAAGCTCGCTTTCTGCGTAAACACTTGCAGATATTCCCCGCAGAAGCTCTCAGGCCTGGCAGCCGGAGACATGGGTCTGTTTGCTCCAGAACAAGCCAGGGTGAACTGGAGTAGAGAACTCCCTCTGCCTTTTCTCATCTCCTCTTGGAGCTGGTATCTCACGGCTTCTGTTGGGGAGGTGAGCCCTCGCCCAGCACTCAACATAGTCTGCCTCAAACTGTGGATAGCTGCCAACTTATCTAGCCTCTCCTGCAATATGTTAAGCCTTCTAAAGGCAATCCGTAGTGCACAGCAGGTGCTCAGGAGGCAGATGCTGAACGAATGAATCGACCATACCCCCAAAACACCAAACCAGTCGCCACGGAGTCAATTCCGGCTCATGGCAACCCCATGTGTATCCAAGCAGAACAGCAGTCCACAGATTGTGATTCAATGACTGTGATCTTTCAGAAGTAGATCACCAGGCCTTTCTTCCGAGGCACCTCTGGGTGGATTTGGTTAGTATCCAACTACTTAACCGTCTGTACCACCCAGGGACTCCACCACCCTCCCAGCCAGTCTTCACCCTGCCGTGTCCCACCCCAGTCTCTACTCAACATAAGCATTCCGCAGCCACGACCTGGAGATTCTTCGACAAAAGGGAAAGTGTGTGCTTTGACTCCTCTGAGGATCTGGGGCAGCTGAGCATCATCGTAGCAGCTTTTTAGAGCTCTCCTTCATGGCCATGAGCTCACCTGGAGGAGCAGGTGAGAAACTCGCACTCTAAGGAGGCCGAGGCGTGGGCATACACAGACAACTTGGCTCCCCAGCCCTGCAGTCTGCCAGGAAAATCGGCCACGGGATTGTGTCCACCGCTGAGAGAAACGATCAGACAGGTTAAGTGCTCTGCTGGCCTGCCATCAAGCTGTGAGAGGGCTGCAGCAGTTGAGCCCTGGATTTATTCTCCTTGATAGGATGATTCTTCACTGCAGTCTGTTCAGAAGAGCAGGCCAATCAATGCAGGCTGCTTCTCTGCGTTAGATGAGATCATCGTACATATGGGAACATAATTTCTTTAACAGGTTTCTGGAACCTACTACCATTACACATTTTAGGCAAAACGCCTCTAGAAATAAACTGGACTATTTCCCATCCGTGATTCCCCCAAGGCTCAGTGGAACTATCCTCCCACTGCGTTCCAGGTCTTTTCTGAAAGCCTCAGAAGAGGATCCGCTGTTCTCTTTCCTTCCATCTTGAGACCGAACGCTCTTCAAGCGTCTAACAGTGTCCCAAGTCTGGACTGTAAGAGACAGAGATGGAACCCATTTCTTCCACAAGCACTTGCCACCAGAGGACTTTGGAATTTTAGAACTGGACCTGTCGGTGCAGACTGTGTGCTCAGCCCTCACGGGCAGGTAGTCCCAGTGGCGGTGGGAGGCCCCAGCACCCATCCACTCTGCACCAGCTTCTTCCCAGGGCAGAGGCCGCCCAGAGCCTCATCTCTCGGCTCTATGTCCAGGCCTCGTTCTCCTCCTCCACTGGTGAAGGCCCGACTCTCAGCCGACACGTGACTGTGCTCTGACCCTGATCTCCTACAAGCCCGGAAGGAAAGCCTCCTTTCAAGTGCAAGCAGGGTGGATGCGAGCAGCTTCCCGACTGTCCCAATGGAGCACCCCATTCCACCCCATTCTCTGCGCTCTTCTGCCTGAAGGCGATGGGATGCACCTGATGTGGAAGGGTTGGTGGGCAGTCACCACTTCGCAGAAAGAAACAAACACCCGCCTGATTAAATACCACCCACCCAGGTGAGTGCCCAGTCAGACTGCCTGGAAGCTGGCCGGGCTGAGAACTGTGTTTTTTGCTCAGTTATGAATCTTTCTTATTCTGTATAATAATGGGGGTGGTGGCAGTAGCCAGTTAAAAAACCTGATGTTGTCCAGTCGATTCCTACTCATAGCGACCCTACAGGACAGAGCAGAACTGCCCCAGAGGGTTTCCTAGGCTGTAATCTTTATGGAAGCAGATGCCACATCTTTCTCCCATGGAGCAGCTGGTGGGTTGGAACCACCGAACTTTTTGTTTGCAGCTGAGCACTTTAACCACTGCACCACCAGGGCTTCGGTGGGAGAGGAGAAACGCTCATTTTGGCCACAGAGTGGCAAGCATCATTTCCTTTTTGTCCTGGGGACTCTTCCAGAAGCTGGGTTGAAGAGACCACAGAAAAGTTGGTGAAGCAAATGTGCTCCCCACCCAACAGTAACAGAGGCTTCAACAAACGGCTCAGCTGAGAGCAGGGTCTTGACCATGGATATGAATTCTGTCCCTACCACAGTGCCTGGCTGGTGCACAGAAGGCAGAGGATGTTGTTGTTGTCAGCTGCCGTACACTCAGCCCCCGACTCATGGCAATCCCATGCACGATGGAACGAAACACTGCACCGTCCTGCACCATCCCCATGATCAGCTGCAGATTGGACCACTGTGATGCACAGAATTTTCACTGGCTGATTTTCAGAAGGAGATTCAGCCAGGCCTTTCTTCCTACTCCGTCTTAGTCTGGAAGCTCCGCTGAAACCTGTTCAGCATCAGAGCAACATACAAGCCCCCACTGACAGACAGGTGGTGGCTGCACATGAGGTGCACTGGCTGGAATCAAACCCGGGTCTCCCGCATGGAAGGTGAGAGGACAGAAAGCTCAGGATAGATTTGTTTAATGAAGAAATGAATGACTGAATGATCTCTGCCATCTTTAAATCCATTCAGTGACTGTAAACTGAACACAAGTATCAAATCAGAAATACAAAGACTCAGACATTAAGCGGCAAAAACATTGCACCAGACAAAGGTCACCAGCATGCAGACGACCGTCCTTGTCTGCAGTGTGTCTCTGGCTTTCAGAAAGCAAATTCTCCACGTCCATACATGCTGGGCACCTGTCTCTGACAAGGAGCTGCTAGCTGCTTCATTCTCTGGGGCGCCATTTTGATTCCCTCAGGTGCCAAGGGTTCCATGCCCCCTCTGCTTGGTTTTCTCCTCAGGGTCCCCAGTCTAAGGAGCCACACCCTGACGAGCCCCCACCCACTCTGACAGGCCATCCTTGGAGGAGTCAGCTCAGGGCTCCGGCACCCTGACAAATTTACCACCCACGGCACCTCTTTCTTTTCCAAACTAAAAATAAGAATTGACCTTTTACAGGTCACATGTTTGTTGAAGTCTTCCTGAAGGCTGGAAAATGAAAGTCTGGACCATGAATCTTGAGTATCCTTCCTGGGAGGACCCTCAGAACACTAGCCATGTCTTTGTAGACAGCGGGTCCTGACTGCCCACCCTGAGCCCTGCCTGAAGGTTGAGATCATGGAGACACTCCCTGAAACCTAGGGCTTCTGTGGACAGCTAAAGGCATTTTTCACCCTTTTTAAAGAATGTGCTTACTTCTGGAACTTCCACCCTCTTCCATCATCCCTATGAAAGCAAATCTATTTTTGGCAGATACATACACGGAGCCAGATTCTCACGCTCAGCCGAGGAAGAGGGAGAGCAGAGAAGGCCTCGGGAAGGGAGGCAGAAAGAAGAGGAGAGGGTGAGAAGAGGGGCCGCTCTCCTTGTCTTAGTTCCCTAAACCCAAAACCCACTGCTGCTGAGTCAATTCCGACTCATAGCGACCCTATAGGGCAGAGTCGAACTGCCCCATAGGGTTTCCAAGGAGCGGCTGGCAGATTCGAACTGTCTACCTTTTGGTTAGCAGCTGAGCTCTTAACCACTGTGCCACCAGGGCTCCCTTAGTTACCTAGGGCTGCTATAACAGAAATACCATAAAAGGGTGGCTTTAACAAACAGAAATTTACTTTTTCACAGTTTGGGAGGCTAGAAGTCCAAATTCAGGGTGGCGGCTCTATAGGAAGGCTCTCTCTGACTGTTCACTCTGTGGGAAGGTCCTTGTCTCAGTCTCTCTAGCCTCGGCATGCCTTGGTTCCTTGGCAATCTCCAGGTGGCATCTATCTTTCCCCCATGTGTGCTTGCCTGTCTCTGCGCCTAATCTGCTCTCTTTATATCTCAAGAGTGATTAGGCATAAGACACAACCTATGCCGATATGGCCTCATTAATATAACAAAGAAAACCCTCTCTCCAAATGGGATTACATCCACAGGTATAGGGATCAGAATTCTAACATATATTTTAGGGGGACACAATTCAATCCATAACCCCTTCCTTGACCGTGCACGCGTTAAACTCAGCTTGCAGTATAAATTAGTGCTGAGTGCTGAATACCACTCACAACGCTGAAGTTCACGTATGCCCCTACTAAGCTCTGGTGCTTAAGGTTGATTCTGTGCATGTTTTGAAAAGAAAAGGCTCATACATGTGACCACAAACTCAATGTCAGTTATGTTGTTGATGTTGTTGTTAGGTACCTTCAATTTTCGACTCATAGCGACACCATGTGACAGAGTAGAACTGCCCCATACGGTTTTCTAGGCTGTAATCTTTACGAGAGCAGGTAGCCAGGTCTTTGTCCCAAGGAGCCACTGGGTGGGTTTGAACTGCCTACCCTTTCAGTTAGCAGCTGAGGTTTAACCATTGCACCACCAGGGCTCCTTGTCAGAGTATGTCCTCTGGGAAAGGTGGGCAGGCTGTCTCCTGAGGCTGGGCCAGGCGGGAGGGGCACCCACTACCCTGGTGACTTTCCCCAGCACACAGGGTGGACCAGGTCCCAGTGAGGGGGTCACATTCACCCAGGGGATTAAGTACAACAGGTGCCAGCACTGTGCTGACATAACAACACACGGGCCATGCTTGCTACAAAGTCAGCCCCTCCCAGAAGCCCCATCATGTCTGACATTGTCTGTAAATGGGTAAGCCGAGCGTGCAAGACGGAGCCTGAGATTCTGTGGGGCCAGCAGCGCCCACACCCACCGACACGGGCTGCCATCAGCACTGGAGTGTTCTGTCTCTGTGGCCAACAAGCACCGTGTTCACCCATGTTTCTTAGCCACGTCACTGCCCTCATCCAGGGGTCTGCCACCACCCAGGTCTCCAGGGTGACCGTTCGTGTCCCTCTGGGCCACTCCCACAGGGAAACCTGCAGAGGACAGTCTTGTTGCCTTTCCTCCCAGATGCAGAGGTGCAGTTTCCAGCCTCCACACCAGGCTAATCTGCCTGGGCCAGGGCCAGTGAGCTTGACTTTGTTCCCTTCCTATTCCCAAGCCTCTTCCTTAATGTCCTCCCTTCCATTTGCCCATGGAGAAAGGTCTCTGAACTCCATTTTGAAATCCTGGCCCTGAGATCTACAGTGGAAACACAATCTGGAAAATGTGTAAAGCCAGAAAGAAAACTGAGCCCAATTCTTCTCTTCTGACTGGCCCCTACTTCTCCCCCAGAGGAAGCAGAGGCATTCAGAAGGCTCCTTGTCTCCCTGCCTATGGGAGCCTCCTCACTGCTCCTCAGGAGGCCTGTGGATGCTGGGAGACCACGTGAGCGGGGTTAGAGGCACCACCGTGGCTAAAGCACAAGCAGGGGCCAGCCGGTCTCATGCCCCATAGATGACATCTCGGGCCCTTCTGCCCCTACCTTCTCACTCCAGCCTCGGCTCGCCCCCACCCCTACTCACCTGGTAAGCAGCCTGTCTCATGAACTGCTTGGCAGGCTGTTTCCAGATGGCCGGCACAGTGATGACCCATCTGACGTCAGAGTTCTCGAAGTCTGAACCTGCCTGGTCGCTCAGCTCCTGAAGCCAAGGAAAAGGCAGCAGGTCAATTGGGCACAGTGGGACCGTGAGGACATGCCTTCTGCAGTGTCCCTGCCATGAACTCCAAACCCTCCTGAACTTACCAGGGTTGGGGAATAAGAATCTGTTTTCTGAATATTCAACAAGCAGGCCGCTCCCAGTGCCCCTTCACTCACTGAGGCAGGCAGAGCAGAAGAAAATCACTTTAGCCACCTCCTCATCATATGACTTTGGCCACCTCCTAGTCATGTGACTTTGGCCACCTCCTAGTCATGTGACTTTGACTACATCCTAGTCATGTGACTTTGGCCACCTCCTAGTCATGTGACTTTGACCACCTCCTAGTCATGTGACTTTGGGCAAGTGACAACTTCTCAGACCTGTTTCCTTATCAGCACAATGGGGATAACAATAACACGTAGCTCATAAGATTGCCAGGAGGATTGATAATGGTGGTAATAATGATGGCAGCTACATTTACTGAGAGCTTATGTGTCAACCACTCTGTGATGCACTTTCCTACCTTATCTCAATGAACCCATTCAAGAATTCCATTAGGAAGGGATTATAACTGTGCCCCTTTTCTACAGATGGGAAAACTGAGGCTTAGATATGTTCAGGACCTTTTCGACAACCGGACAGCTAGAAAGTGGTAGAGCCAAAACTGAGACCCAGGCCAGGTTTATCGTGTCTCTAAAAACCAAGGCCTTAACTAAATTGCTACGTGTGGTCTCCTATGTAGAACAGTGCCTGGCCCGTAGTAATGGTGACCAACTGGTGGCTGTTATCATTGTAGTTGTCACTCTCAACGACCTTACTACAACTCCAGCTATCAGGGGAGTCTTCCTGACATAACAGGAAGGATATGCATGGCATGACCTAACCAAGAACCATGTGGCCCTTAACTTTTGGTTGAAGATATATCACATCAGTGGGGCCCATCTGTAGATAAGTGGGACAGGTGGTTCCCGAACATCAGAGTTTTCCACCAGGTCCATATAGAGCAAAATGTGTCATTGGAATGTTCCAAGACCTCAGTATTCCCATGTGTAAAATGAGAATAATAAACCTAACTCACAGCGTTACTGGCAAGATTGAATGAGAACACATGTGGTGTATCTAAACCAGAGCCTCACCCAGAGAAGACCCCTGATAATTACTATTTCCTTACCTTCTTTCGCCTCCTGCTGCCATATTCACCAGCCAAATCTGAAATCACATCTAAACGCGCACTGATGTACTTATACATCAAAACTGGCCCTGCAGACGCGTTTCAGAAGATTCATAGGCTGGTAAAATATTTGTTTTGCTTTTTCTGATGGGCATCTCATCTTGCCTGTTGTTTCAAATAGTTATCTTGGGTGTGACCCACTCTCTCACTGAACTAGCTTCCTCTTTGATCAATAAACTTTTTTAAAAATATGTTTTAGAAACATCTCTGCTTTGGGTCCACATGAAGCGAACATTCTTTTTTATCACAACGTCTTATTTCCTTGCAGGCCTGCAGCGGGCTTTAAAGCAGGTGAGCTGTGCGACAGGTTTTGGGAATGGCTCCAAGCACAGCGCCATTACCATCCAGGCTATTTAAAGCTCTGGAAACAGGAAATATGAATGAGGCTCTTCCTCCGGCTGTCGGGAGAGCTGTTTAGATAGGCTGTGCCTTCATCAGTGGGTGGAAAACAGCTTGGAAGGGAGAGGAACATGACAAGTGCTCGGCTGCTAACCAAAACGTCACTGGTTCAAACCTGCCAGCTGCTCTGCAGAAGAAGGATGTGGCAGTCTGCTTTCATAAAGATGACAGCCTTGGAAACTCTGTGGGGCAGTTCTACCCTGTCACGGAAACTGACTAGATGGCAACGGGTTTGTTTTTGTTTTTTATTATGTCAGGTAGTTTCACTTGCTTTCTTCATGAACAACTAAACTGCCTCATTTACTGTGATTTCTGAGATATTCTTACTTTAGTCTATTCTGGTCAAACATCCAATAACCCCCTCCCCTCTGTGAATCCTTCTGTCCCTCAAACACCAGCCAGCCCTCTTATGGACGATGTAAACCAGTTGCCATTGAGTCGGCTCAGACTCACGACCACCCCACGTGTACCACCGCCTACCACACAAAGCTGGTTGCCGTCAGTCCTACCTTCAGCGCCTGCTCCTTAAAGTACTGCAGGGCGTAAGCGAAGATTTCAAGGGCTTGGACTTTCTTGCCGTTTGCTGCCGTCAGGTCTGTCTCTGTGGTGAGGTCCTGGTCGGGGGAAAGGAACGAGAGAGCGACAAGATGATGCAGGAGAGACGCACCTTCTGGCTTTGGCGGCTGCTACTTGGAGGTCTGGGGAATCCTGAAGCCACCTTGCGCTCCCTGATGTTTGAGGAGCAAACGAGGATGGCTTGTCCCAGCATTGTCCCCTTATTGCGGAGAAGACTCTGGCCCGCATCCCCCACCTCCGCTCTCCCTCTTTACCTCTCTCTCTCTCTCTCTCCCAAGTCCTCCAGGAGCAGAGGTTTTGGGTTAACGACAGCACCAGGAAAAGAAAGAAGGCAGCAGGCGGCACCCCGAGGCAATTTACATACCCTTTCCACAGACAAACACACATGGTCACCCTTGGGAGCCCCCCAGTTGAGGCCCAAATCAGCCACCTCGCTGCCGTGTATGAAGCTAAACAGACGTGAAGCTTTCATTCCCCAATGAGCTGCCAACCGAGGATCCAGAATGGAAGAGCTCCTATTTCAGGGCTTGCACAGCCTGTTCCCCAGGGAATCCCGCATCACTGCCTCCCTCTCTCTGCCAGAAGCTGGAGCAGCTGCCGAGCTCGGTCCTTGGATGGAGGATGCACTGTGAGAACCCAGGTGCCGGGTGGCCAGAGGTCATCAAAGTGATGAGGACAGTCCCCAGATGAGGAGGAGGGGCAGAGAGTAGAAGCGAAACACAAGAGGAGATCTCCAAGTCTCCGGGAACAAGAGGCTCATTACTGCCGGGAAAAAGGTCAGTGGGGACTCCAGACTGATCCAGGCTGGGTAATTACACTTTGCCTCTGGACGGTGAAGGGGTATTGAGTTACTAAACTCGCCCTTCTGACATATCCGCACACGCTCACGCCTCCTGCCCAGCCGCCTCCCACCCCTGGTGTGAGCTGTTGGGCGGTGACTCCCAGGCTCAGAAAGGGGCTCCAGCACCAGGAAGCCCCCGGCTTGGAGGGGAAGCCTGTGCTGCACTGATAGTTGGCACTGAATTCCAGCAGGGGAAACGAGAGCGATTCGGACCCAGCAGAAAGCGATCTATGTCGGAGAGAGCCAACCGGTCATAGCAATGAGTACAGAGAGCTCGGGAAGGCAGTGCTGGTGGCTGAATGTTCCATTAAGACATGTCTTGTCATCTGCAGCACGTAACAGCAGACACATGAAAGCAATAACAATAAGAGCGAGGATCTCACTAGGGCTTACCATGCACCAGGAAGGCACTATCACTACTCCATTTTACAGACAAGGAAAACCAAGGCATGGAGAGACTGGGTAACTTGGATTTGGTATCATAAAGGGGCAGAGGCAGGATTTAAACCCAGGTTGTCTGGCGCCAGGGGCTGCAGTCTTAAACACTATAGCACCAAGAGTGAAGGAAAATTTACGGGATAAAATATTTAAACTGAAAAAAGTCTATCCAATGCCCCACCTTTTCTCTGCCTTAGTTTGCTTACTTGTTGACATCAAATGCCCTGGTCCAGCTTACGGAACACTGGCTTGTTGGGAGCAGAACTGAGGGCACTGCTTTGGGAGGTGACCTCCAGTTATTGGGCATGTGATTTTCTGAGCTAAACCCTTTCTCGCACAGAGTTGATGCACTAGAGGTAATGGCTGTTACTCCCAGATGAGCCAGTTAATAGCCACTGCCCCAGACCCCCTAGGTGTCCCCAGGCCCCACATCCTCCTTCAGGACCACTGATGTCCCAGCAAGCTGGCAAGTGAAAGAGTAACTCCTGGCACAGCAGGGTGCCCCCAGCACTCTGCTCCCATGCTACAGCCAGTGCAGGCTGACTGGTCAGTTTCCAAGTCAAGCAAGTTGTCAAATATGCTAAATATCTCCCTGCCTACGTGTACATCAGAAAGTGCTGTGTACCCACAAAGTGTGTGCATTCCTGGTCGTTTCTAAAATCAAAGTACGTGGACATTAATTTCTGCTTGGGAGAAGTCTGAGAACCCCTGGGGTGGCAAGCTCCCCAAGGCTGGACGACCCTTGGCTCTCCAATGTGGGGGATTTGGGGACGGGGTGAGGCTTGCTCACCCCAGTGGTGTGCAGCTTCATCTTGAACTTCTCCAGGTACAGCCACTGCTTGGCCTCATTGGGATCCAGGTCGTGGTAGAAGTCCCTAGCAGCATAGCCGAAGCTGTGGAATTTCCTCTCAGGAGTCAACAAAATGGTGGTCGGAGTCTTCTGATTGGACACACCAGGATCGCCTCCTTCCCATCGCCTGAACACAAGGAAAGGTTATGAGACCCCTGTTGCCCAGGTAGCACTGACCTGAGCACCTACTGTGTGCGTGACTGTTATAGACGTGAGTGCTCACAGGAGCTGCTACAGATACAGCCTGGCCCAGCCCGCTGAGTGAGTGACTCGAGATTCATCTACAGTTAAAAAGAAAAACGAAAAGGGCAAATTCCCAAGTTCTCCCTCAGTAACAAAGGTCTGCCTTTATCCTCTCATTCGACATTTCCCGCGCATCTGTTGTGTGCCAGGCACTGGTGACACGGAGATAGAAGATCCATGTCTCTGCTTTCAATGAACTTACAACCTTGCAAGCAGTTGCCAGTGAGTAGATTCCAACTCATGGCAACCCCATGGGTGTCAGAGTAGACCTGTGCACCACAGGGCTTTCAATGGTTGCTTTTTCAGAAGTCAATCACCAGGCCTTTCTTCCAAGGCACCTCTGGATGGACTCAAACCTCCAACCTTTCGGTTAGCAGATGAGCTCGCTAACCGTCTGCAGCACCCCAGGACTCCTGCAGCCTAGCAGGGAATCTACTTTGTTGTTTGTTTCATTTTCAAGCACCAATAGCAGACATATACAAAAAAAAAAAAAAAAAAAACCAAAACCCATTGCTGTAAAGTTGATTCCAACTCACAGCAACCCTATAGGACAGAGCAGAACTGCCCCATAGGGTTTCCAAGGAGCGGCTGGGGGATTCTAACTGCTGACCTTTTGGTTAGCAGCTGAGCTGTTAACCACTGCACCAGCAGGGCTCCGGCAGACATATAGCTGGCTGAAATCCTCTTCGAGACAAGGTAGGGCATAAACAAATGCGGAAGTACCTACCTTACCAGATGGGAAGCGAGAGGCCCAGGGAAATGCTGCCAAGGCCAGAGAAGGCAGAGGGGCCAGCTGGAGGGGGAAATTGAACAATGTAGGAAGAATGGAGGACCAAGGGGCACTTGAGGAAGTGACAGCAGGATCTTGGAGGAGGGAAGGATCTGGGTGTGCTATAATGGGAGTCAGGGAAGCTGCTCCAGGCTGCTCCAGAGATGGGTGGAAACAGGGGCATGGACAAGGGATGCCAAGTGATAGAGTGAGTTAGAGAAAGAATATAAATGGGAGAAGTGGAAATGAGACTGGGAAGGCAGGTTGGAACCAGGCTGGGAGAACCCTGAGGAGTTAGAGATCTAATCAGTGAACCATGGGGAGCCACTAAAGGCTTTAAAGCAGAAGCATGGCAGAATCAGAGCTGCTGCTCAAGAGAGCAAACTGGCAGCAGCATGGGGACTGGACTAATGGAGTAAGGCTCGGAGCAAGGAGGCTGACTAAGAGGCTCTGCCATCGTCTGAGCAGAGGTGAGAGAGGCCAAACAGGGCAGAGGTTCACGGGGAGGAAGAGAAGAGGATGGAAGGGTGATGGGTCATTCTAGAGGGAGAACAGAGCCAAGTGGCCATGGTGCGGTGCAGGGGCATGGTGTGCATGGTGTGGTCCTCATCTCCCTGATCTGTAAAATGGGGATATTAATAGTACCTGCCTACATACTACACATAAAGTGCTCACACGGTGCCTGTCACTTACTAAATGTAAGGTATTTTTATTATGATTATATCAATAAATAAAACCAGTTGTGTCAAGTCTATTCTGACTCATGGCAACCCCATGTGTGAGGGTAGTACTGTGCTCCATTGGGTCTCACCCCCCATGGCTGATTTATTGGAAGTACATCACCAGGCCTTTCTTCCAAGTTACCTCTGGGTAAAGTCAAACCTCCAACCTTTGCTTTAGCAGGCAAGCATGTTAACTGTTTGTACCACCTAAATAGCTGGGCCAAATTAGGTTTTTTAAAATTATCTTCTTTAATAAAATTAACCATGTTGTTTGTCATCTTATTTTTCTAAATTGTCGTGTGTATCTGCCCTAAATATGCTGAAATACTCTTTCAAGGTTGGAAGGGAACCTTTTTGAAAAAGGGATAAAGAACCAACTAACCACACACTGTTGTTGTTAGGTGCCACTGAATCCATTTCAACTCATAGCGACCCCACGTGATGGAGCAGAACTGCCCTGTAGGGTTTTCTAGGCTATAGTCTTTATGGTTGCAGGCTGCCAACAATTCCATGGAGCCGCTGGGCGGGTTTGAGCTCTTAACCACTGGGCCACCAGGGCCCCTTATCCACCCCCGACCTTTCTTTACTGAATAGTAACGGGCTTTTCATTACTATACCAGCGACACGAGCTTACTCACGTCCTCTGCTGGTTCCTTCATTCCTACTTACACATTAGTTTTCTCACTCATAGCTTTTCTCAAAAAAAGGAAACATTCTCATTCATAACTTTGTCAGTATGTATCATGGTTGCATTACTGTGTTCCGGCTGAAATAAAATTCAGGGGTAACCTCTCTCCAAAATCTCTACGATAACTTAAGATCACGTCCCTAGCATCCCTGAGCTATAGTGACGCTTCGTAAGTACCCCTCCCAAAGCAAGTTCAAAGCTATTTCCTCACTTTCTTTTCTATTTTTCTTGCATGACTGTCCTGTGGAAATAACATTTCTGAGAACAATTACTAGAAACCAGTAAACACCGCCTCTAGCTTTTAATGGTGTGTTCTTTTCCGTTCCAGTTTTCCGTCTCGTGGGTCGGTGACAGCAGAGCAAACCCTCACAGCCTCATGGCGACTGAACACCGAGGACTATGTTGTCACCAGGTAATCTAACAGAACTGGCTTTTCATTATTTCCTGCTGAGAGGACACTCAAGGGCCTCTGGGGCCTCTTACAACAAGGTCCTTAGGCTGAGCCTTATCTGGTTTTCAAGAGGAGAGGTGGGGCCAACACTAAGATTGGGGTGGGGATCACTTATATCAAGACTTGTGTTTTAAACAGCACTTTATAAAAATATCTAAAATCTTAATCTGGGAGCTATAACTTAATTACACAATTTCTTAATCAAAGGAATTGCAAAGCCAGTTACAACACATTTTCAGAGCCATCTCTTGAAATGGAAAATTGGGGTGATAAATCTCTGGCTTCCAAAGCTTTAAGGGGCAGCAGACTTTGCAGAAAGGCCACGGGCAGGATTGGGGGAAGCAATAATTGGTGTCAGGGTAGACCAGAAGTCCTCATGTACATTTGCTCACAGTGGATGGGATGGACGTGAGGGCTGTGTGCACTGGGGGAAGGGTGAGTCTAGGGCACAGAGTGCATCCCAGGAGACCCCAGACAACTTTGCCTTTTGGGTTCACTCAGCTGCGTGTACTCAGGCTGCTTTTTATCATGCATGGCACTTCACTTCCGGTCACTGTCACTCTTGACTTTTCTTCCCTTGGAAGAATTATCACCTTCCCTACTTATATTACTGACATAATTATCATCTTCCCTACTTACTTAAGGAGCCCTGCTTGCACAGTGGTTAAAGCACTCAGCTGCCAACCAAAAGGTTGGTGTTTCGAACCCACCCACCTCTCTGCGAGAGAAAGATGTGGCAGTCTGCTTTTGTAAAGATTTACAGCCTTGGAACCCCTATGCGACAGTTCTACTCTGTCCTGTGGGGTCGCTATGAGCCAGAATTGACTCAGTGGCAGTGGGCTTGGTTTTCTACTTACATTTTACTATGGGTAAGCACTTGATGGGCGTCCCTGGGCGGTGCAAACAGTTAATGCACTTGGTTGCTAACCAAAAGATTGGAAGTCCAAGTCCATCCAAAGGCACCTGGAAACGCAGGCCTGGCAATATACTTTTGTAAAAAAATAATCAGTCACTGAAAACCCTACAGGCAGAGGGCAGAGCAGCCAGGCAGCCCAGCTTCCAGAAGGCTCTCGGCACACCTCGGCCAGCAGGAACCCAGCACGCACCCTCCCCGCTGCCAAGATGCCCAAGAGGAAGGTCAGCTTGATGGAAGGGGCAGTGACGGGGGAGCCCAAGAGGAAGGAGATGCCGAGCTTGTCAGCTAAACCTACAGAAGTGGAAACAAAGCCAAAAAAGGCAGCAGGAAAGGATACGTCTTCAGACAAAAAAGTGCAAACGAAAGGGGAAAGGGGAGCAAAAGGAAACACGCCGGCGTGGCTAACCAAGAAACTACAGATTTCCCTGCAGAAAATGGAGGAACTAAACACAAGGAGCGTCCAGCCTCTGATGATGCGGGAGAGAATGAAGCCAAGTCTGAGCGATGCTTGTCCACCATGTCTCATCAGTGGTCCCTGTATGTCCCTTCTTGTACACTCCAGAGGAATATTTTTATCAACTATTTTGTAAATGCAAGTTTTCTAGTAGCTCTAGAAACATTTTAAGAAGAAGGGAATCCCACCTCATCTCATTTTTTAAGTATAAATGCTTTGTTGTAAGAGGTGAAGTTATTTGCTGGTTGTTTACTTTATAGTACAACCAGAAGATAATGGGATGTTGATTGTGGGAGGTTTGACAGCCCCGAGTGTTAATGGAACATTCCATAGGGTGGGGGGGGGGGCAGTTTTTATATTCCATAATACAAAGCATACTTAATGGCAATTGGGAGTCGCAGTCATGCATTTACATGTCTTGAACCTTTTAAATTACTTCTCTTTCTCTGTTGTTTTTTATTAGAATTGGTTCTTAAAGAAAATGGCTCCCTCATCACAGCTCTCCCTGTCAGAACTGTGTGTTCTTTAACATCTTTACTCGTGGTGGTCCAGGTTTCCGAATAACTTTGTTACTTGCTGTGAAAGGTTGAACATTTGAGTGTGTAGTGTGTGAGATATTAAACTGTGAATTAGTGGGACTTACGATGTAACTGACGGAAACCCTGGTGGCACAATGGTTAAGTTCTACGGCTGCTAACCAAAAGGTCGGCAGTTCGAATCTGCCAGGCACTCCTTGGAAACCCTATGGGGCAGTTCTACTGGATCCTATAGGGTTGTTATGAGTCGGAATTGACTCGATGGCAATGGATATGATGTACCCGCTTATCAACAATTGAAGATAACTGGTACTTGATAGCCTCTTAAGGAAAATTTGCCTCCAAATTTAAAGCTGGAAAGTCACTAGAATCTAGAAAAGAAATATAACGACATGGCTTTTTCGATTTTCGGTATGTACATTAAGAACTGTGTACATATCTTAGGTAAAGGGAAGGACAACATACACTACAGGGGAAGTCAGCACAACTGGACTAAACCAAAAACTAAGAAGTTTTCCGAATACAACCAAATGCTTTGAGGGACAGAGTAGCAGGGGCAGGGGTCTGGGGACCATGCTTTCAGGGGACATGTAGGTCAATTGGCATAACAAAGTTTATTAAGAAAACATTCTGGATCCCACTTTGGTGAGTGGTGTCTGGGGTCTTAAAAGCTTGCGGGTGGCCATCTAAGATGCATCAATTGGTTTCACTCACCGGGAGCAAAGGAGAATGAAGAATACCAAAGACACAAGGAAAATATTAGCCCAAGACACAAAAGGGCCACATAAACCAGAGATTCCGTCAACCTGAGACCAGAAGAACTAGATGGTATCTGGCTACCACCAACGACCGCCCTGACAGGGAACACAACAGAGACTCTCTGATGGAACAGGAGAAAAGTGGGGTGCAGAACTCAAATTCACCTAAAAAGACCAGACTTAATGGCCTGACTGAGACTAGAGGAACCCCAGAAGACACGGCCCCCAGACTCTCTGTTAACCCAGAACTAAAACCATTCCCAACGCCAACTCTTCAGACAAAGATTAGACTGGACTAAAAAACATAAAATAATACTCGTGAAGAGTGTGCTTCTTAATTCAAGTAGATACACGAGACTAAATGGGCAGCTCCTGTCCAGAGGGGAGATGAGAAGGCAGAAAGGGATAGGAGCTGGATGAATGGACACGGGAAACCAAGGGTGGAAATGGGGAGTGTGCAGTTACATTATAGGGATAGCAAGTAGGGTCACATAACAATAGGTGCATAAATTTTTGTATGAGAAATTAACTTCAGCTGTAAACTTTCACCTACAGCACAATTTAAAAAAAAAAAAACCTGAAAAAAAAAGAATTGTGTACAAACTGTTCATAATGTCTGTACTGATCCTTGAAATAACCAATAAAATACCAATTATACAAGTAAAAACAAAGAAAACCCTATGGAGCACAGTTCTTCACCAACACACATGGGGTCACCAATAGTCAGAATTGACGGCAACAGGTAAGCACTTGATAGGAAATCCCATTTCATTTGCATCCGTCCCCTGTAAGGCAGGTCCTGTCATCATCCCCATTGCACAGATGAGGAAACTGAGGTTCAACAGGTTCAGCAATTGTCTAAGATCACACAGTAAGTGGCTGAGCCCGTACCTCTGTCACCTCTATCATAGACACTCTAGGTCAGTGCCCCTCATCCTGACTGCACACTGGAATCACTGGGGGCACGGGGGATGAGGGGCTGGGGAGTCCAGGTTTCAAACATACCATTGCCCAGGCCCCATCCCAGATGAAATCAGAACTAAATCATCCTTTTACAGACCAGGAACCTGGAGCCCAGAGGTCAGAAGTGGCTTGCCCAAAGTGGCGCAGTGAGTTTGGGCGAGCTGGACCAGAGCCCAGCGTGCCCTCCCACTATGTGCCTATTGACTAACGCCTCTCCCATCCCCCAGTGCCCTCAAGGGTCCCGCCACCCCCCGCCCACAGCATCACCTCATCACGTGGATGCATTCTGGCTCCTTGGTGAAGCTGTAGGCGTAGCCACTGGACGTGGTCCCAAAGTCAATGGCGACCACCACGAGAAATGTCTGCTGCTCGGAGACGTTCGGGTCGGCGTCGTTCTGCAGAGACAGACAGCGAGGTACGGGGGCAGGGGGAAGGGAGGGAGGCCGACCTTGGCTTTTAGGGAGATGCCCTGGTGGCTTCACTCTGCCCAGCCACGCACCCACTACAGACAGAAGGACGTTCCGGCTCGAGTCTGCCACATGGCGAGCCGTAGGGCGGGGGCTGGCCAGGCTTGGCCCTCACCTGAGTGGCTCAGGGAGGTGTCCCTGGCCCACTGGCAGCTCCCAGCCTGAGCAGAGGGCCAGGCCGACTGGAGGGCCAGGCCGACTGGGCAAGGGCACCTGCCTTCAGCTCGCCCACCCCTCCCTTCACCGTATGTGTGTGGCCATGGCTAATGACAGACGTTCTACCAGCAGGGCCGGAAGCCCAGTGTTCCCTGAGGAACCCAATCTCCACTCCTACCATCCTCCCCGAGCTCCTGTGCAGACCCCCAGTCACTGCCCAGAGCGCTCTGCCTGTGTCCTCTGTACCTGCACTGTGCCTGTACCTGTCCTGTACCTGTACCTGTACGTGTACTCACATCTGCTCTGCGTGAGAGGGAAGTGTGAGGGAGCAGGGCCCGGCATACAGGCACCAGCCCAATCCTGCCATGACCAGCTCCTCTCTGGGCCCAGAGCCTTCCCCTCACCTGTCCAGTAAGTCGGTCAGGCCAGTTCAGGTTTCCAAGCCTTTTCTTTAAAGCAGTATAGACTTTTTTTTAAACTCCTATGGAACTCCAAATTATAAAACCAATAAAGTTTGGATTTGGCATGTCCTGGGTAAAGCAGGGGTTAGAACCCCACCTGTGGCCTCTCCTCACACTGGCCCTATCCCCACATAGCCCAAGGGGAACCATCAAGCTCTTCCAGGGAGCGCTTGGGAACCTGGTGATGGGTCACCAACCCTCCCAGTTTGCTGGGACTGGTACAGTTCCCAGGTGCAGGCCTTTCACGGCTGAACTCGGGACAGTTCTGGGAAAACCAGGACAAGCTGGTGCCTTTTCCTGCTGGTGGCTCCAAAGTTCTCAGCGGGGCCTTCTTCAGGGATCTGAGCGCCCATGAGAAGCTGCTCTTTCCTCTGGGTGCTCGTCCTGTGGCCGGCTGCGTGGGAGGCTCTTTGACCAGCTGCCCCACGACATCCATCTGCTTTTGCAGTCCAAGGTAGAGTGGGAGAAACAGCCCGCCTCCAGCCCCACCCAGGGCTGGTGAAACCCTGCACGGGCCTCCCTGGCCAACTGCTGCAGGGCAATTACACAGGCACCAGCTTCGGACAAGACAGTCAACGACAGGTGGCAAAGGCACCATCAGAACGGGGCAGTCTCACTGGTTCGCCAGCAGAGACGGCTGCTTCGCTCCCAGTGGAGGCTCTTTAAAAGGCTGCTCCTGCCTGCCTGCCCATATCACCCCCAGATCAATGGCTGCAGAAGCACCAGCCCCACCGTGGAAAGCTGGCTCTGTGGACGCTGGGCTACAGGGGCCCTGCAGAGCCAGCCCGGAAAGCACCGAGCCCCTTCCTTCACACACTTAGAGACCTAACCCTCCACACTGTGACAAAGGACACAGGCATAGCTGACCTATCCCACCGTCCACCAACAGCTCACCAGCAGCTGCTGAAACGAACTTCCACGTGTTATCACTGGGAACATTCTATGAGTCCAGCTCACTGGTTCTAAACCATATCTACAAACCAAAACCAAGCCCATTGTCATAGCAACCCTATAGGACAGAGTAGAACTGCCCCATAGGGTTTCCAAGGAGCGGCTGGAGGATTCGAACCGCCTACCTTTTGGTTAGCAGCTGAGCTCTTTACCAGTGCACCACCAGGGCCCCTACCATATCTGTAGTTATCATAAATAGCCTGAGCATTGCTTTGATTATCTGATTATTACATCAAAATGATGCCTTGTTATCATCCTTTGGAATCCAGCCCTGGTTTTACTACGAGTCTCTCTACCTGGGGTAAATCAGCTCTCTGTAAGCCTCAGTTTCTGCATCTGTAAAAGGGGAATAATAGTAGTTCCCGCCTAAAGATTAAATGAGATCACGGATGCATGGCACTTAGCATGGGGCTGGCCCGTGGTAAGCGCTCACGGACGTGAGCTGTGCTTACTGCCAGGATTAATAAGTTCAACCTTTTCAGACCCAGGGTGGGATAAGGGACTCGTCTGGGCTCACACGCTCATACCCATGAGTATGAGGGGCTGCCCAGCAGCCTGTCCTGTGAGAGTACCCCAGAAGCAAAGGTAGTTGGCACAGCCCCCTCCCGCCTCCCCACAGAGACATCTTACCACGATATGAGAAGGTGACAGAGGCATTATTCCCGTGTCCCCCAGACTCCGGGCTGGAGATGAATATGCAGATGTAGGAGCCGTTTCTGAAAGGAAAGACAAGTATACTCCTTAGAAGTGGCACCTGCTGACCCAGGAGCAGGAATGGGGCCGGGTGGCTTTGCCTTTGAGAAAGCCAGCTAAGAAGGTAGGCGAGGCCGAACCCCACCATAAAGGCAGGGGGTCTGTTCCAGTACCCACTGTAGTTCGTATTTAAAACTGGACCAAGTGAGATGCTCCTTTTCTCCCACTATGTGCTGCCCCCACCCCGCTAAGCAGGAAGCTGAGTCCTCTGTCGAGCCAGTTCTTAAACCAGGCACCATGATGGACCGGAGGAACCTGTGGCCACCTGCAAGCGCTCACAGATTTTTGTGTGCATTTTCTGGGAAGATGCTCCATGGCCCTCAGCTTCCCAAAGGGGTGTGGGATCTCCAAAATATGAATAATGCCATTGGTGGTTCAGTGGTAGAACTTTCCCCTTCCATGCAGGAGACCTGGGTTGGATTCCCAGCCAGTGCACCTCATGGGTAGCCACCACCTCTCTGTCAGTGGGGGGCTGCATGCTGCTATGATGCTGAACAGGTTTCAGCAGAGTTTCCAGACTAAGACAGACTAGGAAGAAAGGCCTGGCGAGCTACCTCCAAAAATCAGTCAGTGAAAACCCTATGGATCGCAAAGATCCGATCCACAAATGATCGTGGGGATGGTGCAGGACCGGGCAGTGTTTTGTTCCATCGTGCATGGGATCACCATGAGTCGGGGGGCTGACTTGACAGCAGCTAATAACAACAACAATTCTAGAAACATAGGCTGTGAACTCCAGTTCCACAAAGAGCTTCCTTAGCTGGTGGATCCATCACCTCCTCCCTCCCTCTGGCATGAGGGCCCTGCCAGAGCCTGGGGAACTCATCTCTCTTTAGTGATACTGAAGCTTTTGACATTCAATAAGAAAAACCTAGCAAAAAGACAGCTAGATTAGCATTTCTGGGCCTCGCAGACAGAGCCCCGCAACAGTCACAAGGTCAAACAGGAGCAGGGCCGACCACCAGCAGCAGGAACATCATTTTGTTGATTGCCCTGCTGCCCTTGCAATTACTTAGCCACAGACATTTGTTCTGGAACACTGCCAGAGTGCAGTGGCTTCACCCAGGGATTAGCACCCGAGGAGAAGTCATACTCTCCCTGGCCAGCACTGTGTCAGGACAGGCAGGTCTGGCAGAGCTGCGAGCATGACTTCCCACTCTCCCAGTAAAGACCACTGCCAGACACCGGGCACCTGCAAACACCAGGCCCTGCACGGGGTGCTCTGCAAACATGCTCCACTTAGATGACAAGACAGAGGGCACCTGCAAACACCAGGCCCTGCATGGGGTGCTCTGCAAACCTGCTCCATTTAGATGACCAGACGCAGGGTGCCTACAAACACCAGGTATTGGATGAGGTGCTCTGCAAACTCTCTCCATTTAGTGCACATCCTAATCCCTGGCTTGAAAAAAAATGGGTAATTTGCTAAAGAAGGGGCCCTGGTGGTGCAATGGTTAAAGTGCTTGGCTGCTAACCAAAAAGATTGGTGGTTTGAAACCACCAGCCACTCTGAGGGAGAAAGATGTGGCACTATACTTCCATGAAGATTACAGCCCAGGAAACCCTACCTGGCAGTTCTACTCTGCCCTGTACGTTCACTATGAGTTGGAATCAACTCGACGGCATACAACAACAACAATTTGCTAACACAATACTTGCAGCCAAAGAAATCCAGAGGTTTGAGGTGGCACAGAAAGGCCTGTCTCCTTCTAGGGGGGTGCGCGAGGTGGTTCCATCTGCCTCTTCTGCCAAATCACTGACATTAGTCCCAGGCTCTTACTGATTTTTTTTGTCCTGCTTGGTAGAAACAGCGTCATTACAATGGGTACTAAACAGACTGATGAAATGAAATGAATCACAAAAGAGTGAATGTGAAGCCTCAAATCTAGCAGCCACCTCCCTCTCTGCCTGCTGATGGTATCCATCCTGATGGGGCTCCATTCCAGCCTATGGCAGAAAGGTGAATAACCAGGTAATTTCAGAGGCAAAAGGTCAATTTGCGCACCTGCAAGCAGAAGCTTCTTCAAATTCCTATTAGCACCATGGCCCAGTGCTCTTAAAAAGAGAATTCGGAAAAATAAGCCTGGCTCCCAAAACTAAAACCATTCCCGAGGCCAACTCTTTAGACAAAGATTAGACTGGACTATGGGACATAAAATGATACTCATGAAGAGTGTGCTTCTTAGCTCAAGTAGACACGTGAGACTAAATGGGCAGCTCCTGTCCAGAGGTGAGATGAGAAGGCAGAGGGGGTCAGGAGCTGGTTGAATGGACATAGGAAATCTGGGGCGGAAAGGAAGAGTGTGCTGTCACAGTATAGGGAGAGCAACTAGGGTCACAAAACAATGTACGTATAAATTTTTGTATGAGAGACTAACTTGAATTGTAAACTTTCACTTAAAACACAACAATAAAAAAATAAAATAAAATAATAAGCCTGGCTCCAGAAGTGCCTGGGTGGCAAAAATGGTTAAATGCTGGACTACTAACAGAAAGGTTAGTGGTTCAAACCTACCCAGAGGCACCTCAGAAGTAAGGTCTTGTGATTTGCTTCCAAAAGTTCCCAGCAATGAAAACCCTACGGAGTGTGGTTCTACTGTTCACACATGGGGTCACCATGAGTCGGAATTGACTCGACAGCAACCAATAACAACAAAGACTGGCTCCTGGACCAGCCTGCTAAACTCCACCATCCCCTCTCTTTGCTAAGCTAAGCTCCCAGCACAAGGGCACCTCCTTTCATAAAGACAGGGGGAGCTCAGCCTCTCCACTAGGGGGCGCTGTCAGATGGTCCTTCCACCTGTTGACAAGAGGCCCGCCCAGCCCAAGGCCCCTGGGGCAGCCCGTGGTGAGACGTCATCCAGCAGCGCTGGGAGCATCCTCTCTCCACCTGCTACCTGGAAGGCCTGCGGCCATGTGTCCACATTTGCACAGAAGGTCTTGGAAGAAACCAAATGTCTAATTGCCCGGGAAATCTGGTGTTGGCAATTAGCAAACAAGCTATTATCTGCAGACAAACCATCCATCCCGCTGTCTGCTTGGTTCTAATTATCCCATCACTCAGCCCTGCTCGGAGCATGTCCCTGTGCCGTCCCACTGACTTGCAACAGAGCATGTGTCAGGCCACACACTGAGCACATGCCTTGGGTCTCTAGGGAACTCCAGGATACTTGAGGGCAAGAGCCAAGAATGTGTTGGTTCTCCCTGCACCCCCTTCCCCACTGCATCTCGTACAGTAATACATAAATCATCTGACTTGCTCACCACTCAGCCAGGCCTAGAAGCAGTTGAACTTCATGGACTTTCTCTGTCCAAAATTAAAATTCAGCTACATTGTGCAATGCTTTAATCAATCTGCATACAAGGTTAGAGGAGTGACATTTTTCTAATATAGACACATGCATGTCATGCATGCGCACATCCATATCTCTATATATTCTAAAGGACAGATAATTCACCAGTTACTGTCCATCAATTCAGCACAGGATTATACAAACCCGTGGTGATGAGTATGTTCTCCAGCTAGTATTTCTTTACTTATTTAGGACATCAAAGTGGTGCTCAAAAATTCTTGGGGAAAAGAATATGGAAAAGCTTACCTTATCCCCAAGGTGTGTGGGAAGCTTAATTCTGGAGTACTAAGAGTCCCAACAAGGCCAGGGATCATTCACTCAATGGGTAAACAATTAGGAATGAAAACAAAGGGGCCAATGGAATATCATCAATTAATCTATTGATTTTTGAGGATCTATTTGATTTTTCCTGCTAATAAATGGCAGGGAGGGTTGATATATGAAATGTATATATGTACAAGGAATATGCTGTGTGTCCTGGCTACCAATTACACATAGGCCATTACCCACAGTGAGAAATTCCAAACAGCATTAACTGGGACCCTGTTTACACTTCTTCTGTAAAACTAATACACTAGCATCTTCCCTATGATGTACTTCCTCCCACGTGATAGTGCAGCTCAGTACACAGCCAAAGCCAAAAGTTCAACAGGAATAGAGGTTTTCATAGTGCAGGCTTGGAAGAGAAAAAGAAAGCCAACAAAAAGAAAATTCAAACCCATCTGTGGAGGTAGGAAGGGAAGACTGGTAAAAGAGAGATTAAAGTAAAATGCTTTAGCAGACCAAGGGCAGAGCTGAGGGTTCTGAGAATTTTAAGAATTACCTATGCCGCTGTTCCAACATGATTAAAGACCACACAAAGCATCTTCCCTCTCAGGCCCTAAGTTACCCTGAAATCCCGGAGCACAGAGGGATTCAATGATTTCACATCACAGAATCAGAAAAACACTGACCATTTCAAAAATACAAACTATTGGCCACAAAGACTACAGAGAGGTATAGAGTTAAGCAGAGGAGGAAGAGACCCTGAAGCTTTCTAGTGAGCAAATAGAAGTTAATTGTCGAGTCTCCTTTGTTATTGTTGCTTTGTTAGGTGCTGTCGTGTTCGTTCCAACTCATAGCGACCCTATGTACAACAGAAGGGCAACCCTGCCTGGTCTTGCACCATCCTCACAATCATTGCTGCTGGAGCCCATCATGGTAGCCACTGTGTCAATCCGTCTTGTTGAGGGTTTTCCTCTTTTTCCCTGACCCTCTGCTTTACCAAGCATAATGTCCTTCTCAAGGGACAGCTCCCTCCTTATAACACATCCAAAGTACATGAGACAAAGACTTGCTATTCTCGCTTCTAAGGAGCATTCTGGCTGTTACTTCTTCCAAGACAGATTTGTTTCTTCTCTGGCAATTCATGGTATATTCAATAGTCTTCATCAACACCATAATTTGGGGCATCAATTCTTCTTCAGTCTTCTTATTGTCCAGCTTTCGCATGCTCATGAGGCTATGGAAAATATGATGGCTGGGGTCAGGCACACCTTAGTCCTTAAAGTGACATCTTTGCTT